ATCTTCTGCTTCCAGCTGCAAAACATTTCCCCCATTACCTCCTCAACTGCTATGTACTTTTCTGGGTTGGACGTAATCTCCTTCCCAACCACCCTCAACTTTTTATTTAGATTTCTCTCTCTTTTTAAGTATATAACTCACAGTCTACACACTAATGGCTTAATAAACATTAGTATATTAATAAATACTGTATTTGCAATGTGCTAAAAAAGACTTAATATATGAAACAAGACCAATCAACTTCCCCAAACTCTCCTCTCATTTCTCACTCTCCTTAAATAAATGGCCTACTTCCTCACCACCCCAGAACTACCCACACACCTTAAAAAAATATTTATAGCTTTTAAAAGCCTTTCTTAGCTCATCTTTCCTCTCCTGCTGGGCACTCTTAATCTCATTGCTGGTAGCAGCTCTAAATGATCCTCTTGAGATACTATCACGTGTTAAACTCTCGTGGTTTTTATGCCAGAGAGAGAGAGAGAGAAAGAGAGAGAGTAGTTGGCAGATGATAAGATGGTTGATTATTTCTGTTCTTGCAGAGATTCCCTTTCTTCTGGATTTTACATGCAAGGATTATTGAGAGTGCCCCCTCCTCCCCCACACCCCCCCACAGTAATTGACATTACAGTCATCCTGGATGTGGACAAAGATTCATGTGCATTCAGAGCAGTAAAATTCTCACCATCTGAGAAATGTCTTAAAGGCTCCAATCCTGGAGGGCTTCAGCTGCATTTTGAGGAGGGGCAGCATCACACAGCAACTAACTAAACTAACTAACTAAACTAACTAAAGTCACCATGGCCTACAGCACCTCTTCCTCTTGATCACTGCACACTAGCTTTCATTCCTGATGGCAGAACAACACTTGAGAAGCTAAATACACATACCTCTACCTGGGCCCACAAAATACAAAAGAACCTAATTTAAAATTAAGCCCAAAACACTGATAAATACATTTAAAAGGGGTTTTTTTTTTGCTTTTGTTTCTGTTTTTGTTTTTGCCTCCTGTTGTCTGAAATAAAAGTATTAAAATAGAAGCCAAAAAACTTAACATTATCGCCTACTTTGTGCCAGGCATTGTCTTAAAGCCTTTAAACCCGACATCAACCTCTTGAGTACTATCACCACATCCTTTCTAAAGCTGAGCAAATTGACTTTTGAGGAGGTTCAGGCGCTAGTTCAAGGTCACAGAGTTGTTGAACCAGAAATTTAAATCCAGGCAGTGGGACTCGAGGTCCAAGATCTTAACTAATATTCTATACTATTTCCCAAGATGCCCAGATGTTGTCAGTCTGTGAGAATTTAAATATAAACCTACAAGGGTGACTGGGTGGCTCAGTCAGTTAAGTGTCCCACTCTTGATCTCAGCTCAGATCATGATCTCAGAGTCCTGAGTTCAGCCTGCGTTGGGTTCCGCACTGGGTGTGAAGCCTACTTCTTAAAAATAAAATCAGGGGCTCCTGGGTGGCTCAGCAAGTCAAGTGTCTAACTTTAGTTCAGCTTGAGGATTTGAGCTCTGCATCAGGCTCTGCATGGACAGCTCCGAGCCTGGACCCTTCTTTGGCTTCTGTGTCTCCCTCTCTCTCTGGCCCTCCCTGACTTGTGTTCTCTCTCTTTCAAAAATAAATAATAAAATTAAATAAATAAATAAAACCTACAGCCTCTTTCAATTTGGAAAAGAAAAAAAAAAAGGAACTCCCGTTCAAAGCAATTTAAATAAATAGGGGATTTAATAGCTCCTATCAGTAAACTAGAGAATGGATTGTGTCCAGGGACTTGAACAGTCAGGATTCTTTAGGTTTGAGACGAATGTCAGTCTCATTCTTTCAGACTACCACATGTTAGAAACCTCACTGGTGAAGCTTCAGTTTCATAGTCTAAGATTAGCCCAGAGAGGAAAAAATTCATCTCCTCTGGCTCCAGTAAGAAAAATTCCTGTGAAAGATTCTGATTGGCCTGATTTAGGTCACGTACTCGTCCTTTCATCAATCCCAGGGACAAGGGAGGGAGAGGACTGTAATCTGCCCAGTCTGGGTCACTTGCCTCCCTCTGTGGCCTGGAGGGCTGGGTATTGACCAGAGAAGGAGAGAGAGTTGCTAGAGAAAATATAAAATAGCTGCTATAATACGTAACATGGCTATACCTCTTTGAAGTGTACAAAATGCTCTCATGATTAATCCCTTTTGAGTCTCACAATTAGCCTGCAAAGAGGGCACGTCAAGTATTACTAAAAAAAGAAAAGGTGATGAATGGCATTAATTTGTCACTCTCTCCATTGAGAGACAGGGTTCATTTCTCCATCCTTGAATCTGGGCTTGCCCTGTGATATTTAATAAAATATGGCTGAACTTACTCTACTACTTATCAGTTTTGTCTTTTAAAAATCTTTTTAAATTTATTTTTGAGAGAGGAAGAGAGAGAGAAAGAGACAGCAGGAGTAAGGGAGTCAAAGAGAGAGAGGGAGACACAGAATCTTAAGACAGGCTCCAGGATCTGAACTGTCAGCACAGAGCCCAACACGGGGCTCGAACTCACAAACTGTGAGATCACAACCAGAGCCGAAGTCCAATGCTTAACCAACTGAGCCACCAAGGTGCCCCCAGTTTTGTCTTTAAAAGGCCATCCATGTTCAGCTTTCTTTCTCTGGGAATACTCACACTTAGGATACTCCCTTTTAAACTCAGCTAGTAAGAAGTCAACCCACCAGGGAATGGCCACAAAGAGGCATTCCATTCACCAGTTCCAGCTAAGCCTTCCACTGACAGCCAGAGTTAACTGCCAGCCATGAAGAGTGAGCCATTGTGGGCATTCGAGGGTGGTTTGGCTGGCAACAGCAGAGAACCAAAACAGAAACTAGGGCTCATTGGCTTCATGTCCTACAGTTAGAAAGTCTCAGAGTTGTAATGCTAAACCAGATGCTCTGACTCTAAACCCACTGGGCTTTCTTTGATTCCTAACCGCCTTCTATTGAAAACAGAACACGCCTTAATTTAAAATCTCCAACTGAGGAATTTCTGCCCAGGATGCAGGTTGGGGAGTGGAGCATATAAGTCACTCAGCAAGCATTTAAGAAGATTTATGTGGCCAGCAACTGAACAAAATGCACTACTTTTTCTTGAGGAATTCAGAGCCTAATCAGTGGAGTTCATTTCAATAAGAACTGATAAGTGCTATGATGAGAAATGTACACTGTACTTTTAAAAAGCATGGTGGGCACTAAACCCAGCCAACAGCATGAAATAATGGGTGCCTCTTTTTTTTGGGTGTAGAGGGTATCTCTGAGTCTATCCTGAGGATGTTGAAGAATATGTTTAGAATGAATATAATTATTCATCAAGATAAATATGACAGGAAATGGGAAGGGATGCAGGGAGGAAAACTTCTAGTATTTAGGTTAAGGATGTGAGTTCTAGTCCTGGTTTCACTTTCCACATCATGTGCTTTGGGCCAAGTCTCCCCTTCACTTAGCTTCCTTGTTTGGAAAGCTGAGGTGGGGGTCACACTATTTCTTCTTTGTGTCCTTGGACGGTTTGTTTCTCCAACTCCCTTTAAGTTTTGATGTTCCTTAGAGCTTGGTCCTTAGCTCATTGCTCTTCTCACTCTGCAAACCCTCGCTAAGGGATCTCATCCACTATTGCTTTGGTTATCACTCATATGGAAATGAACCCCAAGTGTATATGGTAGCCCAGCTCTGTGGGCTATCTACCACCGTAGTCATCTGCTACTGCACATCACTAAATGTTCCACAGGCAAGTAAAGTTCAACATGCCCAGAGCTGCACTCATTCCCTTGCCTACTTGGACTCCCACTTCCGACTTCTCCATTGGTTGGTGGCACCACCATCAACATTATTAGTGACCTATGAGGTTAATTTCACTCTCAACTTTTCCCTCAACCTTTCACGCAATCCTTTGTCGGTACTACTAATTTTGCCTCCTAAATATTTCTACAGTTTATTCCTTTGTCTAGATAGCCCATAAAAACCTCCAATTCAAAATATTCAAGGTGTGACTCCTTATCACCCACTCAAACCTGCTCCTTTTCCTGAATTCTAGCACTCCACTCAGTTGTCAAACATAGAACTTAGGCATCATGGTTGATTTCTTCCTCCCTTTGCTTTCCATAACCAGGTAACAACCAATTTCTGATGTTTGGCCTCGTTTGCTTCTTTAATCTACCCACTTCTCTCCATTCTCATGTGATCATCTTTCACTTCCAGTGGTAGTATCCTAATTGGTTTCCCTGCCTTCAGTTTTCAGCCTTCACTTTCTCTGGCCTCTTCTCCACAGTGATGTCGAATCTGATCATGTCAGCAACTTACCCCTTCACCACTCCCTATTTTCTAATTCTTTGACTCTTCATGCTTTACCTGCGGGCTACAAAATCTAGGCTAGGGGCCATACTCCATTTACCCTGGTCTCCCCTGCACCTACCACACTGTACTCAGCACATAATAGTTGCTCAATAAATATGAACCTGCACTCATCCCTTCTCTGGTTACAGGGTTGGGGTTTTTTTTATATAGTAAATAAATTTGTAATATGTTCTACATGCATTGGGCCTCTGGAGACACAGAGTGTCATGATATGGTTCACTGTTGTATGAGTTGGAGGCCTTTAATGAATGCTATGCGACACGGCAGCATAATGGTACCAAATTGTGTAGTCAGTGCACAGAAGGATATACATCCCAAGACCATCTTCATAATGGGCCTTAAAACTAAAGTCACCTTCAATGCTCTGGGCAAATATTTTCCCCTTTCTGGATCTCTGCCTCCTTATCTATAAAATGAACGCTTTGAAAGAAAGGCTGCAAACTCCATACCCGCGGCGGGTATGAGAAAGAAAACGGGCCAAAACGTAGGGTTTGGCGCGTGCGCGTGCTTGTCCGGCGCGGCCGTCCCGGCAGCCCTCGGGGGAGGCGGGACTAGGCCGGTTCCCGCGGCTTGGCCCGGCCATTGGCGGGCTGTTTGAATGGCGGAAGTGACGGGAGGTCGGCGATGGCTGCCCCGCAGGCGCACAAACGGCTGTTGGGAAGCTGGCGGGCCGCCGGCGCCGGGCCCTTTTCCGTCTGAGCTGTGGTTCCTGACCCCGGGGTTCTGGTTCGCCGGTGAGTGACGGACGCACCTGCTTCCCGCGGCCCGGCCGTGCAGAACTCCTTAAGCCCCGGAGCTGGAGGCGCGCCTCTCCGGAAGGGGATGCCGTGAAGGCCCCGGGCCCAGCCTGGGGTCGGGCTGGCGGCGGTAAGCAGTGCGGCGACTTGGAGGTGCGTCCTGACGCAGACAGGCTCCTTGCTGCGACAGGCTGCTCCCGGAGCTGAGACGCGTGTGGCCTTGCGCGCCCTCCCGGGATGCTGTCGCGCGAGGTCCTTCGGCTTCCAAATCGGGGGCAGCCGGGAAGGCCTCCGCGGTTGCCTCTGTAAACGAAACGTTTCTCTATGCGTCCTGCCTTCTCTTCCCGCGGCTCAGCCGCGGACTTGGCCTGAAACCCGGTGGCGGTTTAAGAGCCCTTCCTAGAATTGTTTCTTGCAGACAGCGTGCTCTTTTTTGGTGCCTCTCATCTTTAATTTCTCCGGCAGTAAGTCCAGCCACAGCTGAGCTTTTGAAACAGTGGGGAACGTTTGAGTCTTTAATACTTAAAAAAGTATTTGGCAGTTTCACATTCACTAAGTCACGTAATCATCAGAACAACCTGTTGGGGCAGATGTTATGATTCCCAATGTAGTTTAGGAAAACGAGACCAAAGTAACTTAAGTGACTTGGTCAGTGCCTTCCTGCGTTAAATGGTCATGATGAGTCTTGAACACAAATCTTCTAGAGCTAGTATTTTGTGAATACAGTATGCCAAGTGCTGTTTAATCCTCGGGACAAGATCTTAAAAGATAAGTAGTATCATTTCTGTTATTGGATAACATTAATACACAGAATTTAAAAATCCATACTGCTAAAGGGGCGCCTGGAGCCTCAGTCGGTTAAACATCCGACTTTTGCTCAGGTCACGATCTCGGGTTCACTAGTTCGAGCCCCGGCGGTACTGTGCTGACAGCTCAGAGCCTGGAGCCTGCTTCAGATTCTGTGTCTCCCTCTTTCTCTGTCCCTCCCCTTCCCCCACTCTGTTTTTCTCTCTCTCAAAAATAAGTAAACATTAAAAAAAAATCCGTACTGGTACGAATAAATGATTCAATGAATAAGAGAGGGAGCAGGGGAAACTTCCTTACAGTAGGATTATGATTGATAAGTGCAGAAGGAATAATGGAAATAGAAAATGCTTTTTGGCAAACGCCACAGTTAATGTTTCAAACAACAACCATCAGTGGATTCTCAGGAGCAAACATATAATAAGGAACATGATATTTACATATAGGCTCAACTGTCTCTCCACTGATACTTCTAAAGGAGAGAGAGACCTGGTAGACCCCACCCAACCACGTGATCAAAATTAACATCACCAGTTGGCAGTAAGACATGTTAACACAATTTAATACATTGAGAAAGGTTGCATCGTCACTTCTGTGGCCTTCTTGCCAAAAATGCATAATCTTAGTTTAACTACAAGAAAAGGTTAAGCAAATCCATATTGTGGGGCATTCTATAACTGACGAGTAGTTTTAAAAAAATCAAGAGGTTGAAAAGAAAGGCACGGATTGAGGAACTGTCCCAGATTAGAGGAGTCCAAGGAGACATGACAGATTAGCCATTGTGAAAATGTAGTTCACAGACCTTCAGCTCCTATATTCTGAAATCCATCTGCATGACTGCTTCTGGCCAGTGACTGAACATGGCACATACCTTAAGGCAGGCCTTGTCCTGAGAAACAAGGGACTTTCGCTTAAGAACTCCTCAGAGGTTTTACTAAATCAGTCTCCTTTAGACTGCATGGCAATCATCTACCCAGATTTCCCTCTCTCCATTCATTGTCAGATTTGCATGGAAGTCTGAAGTGCTCCCAGCTTTTACTGGCTCCTCCCCATTTTCCCTCACACAGGCATTTCTCCTGACAAAATCTTTGTGGGTTTAATCCTGTCTTGTCCTCTGCTTCTTGGAGGATCCAAAGATATACAATGGTTGAAAGCAATGGGTTGTCCTTGGATTGGGTCCTGGTTCAGAAAATGGACATTAGTGGAATACTTGACAAAAAATGAACAAGGTCTATAGGTTAGTTAAAAGTATTGGGCTAATGTTAATTTCTCGGTTTTGGTCATTGTGCTGTCATTGACAGAGGAGCTGAGGAAAGAGTACAGTATATGGGAGTTCTACATCTGAAATTATTTACAAATTAGTTAAAAAGTTAAGAAAATTATATGCGAGAGAAAAAGTTACTCCATCGCATCTCCAGAGGTAAAAGTAACAAATGTAGGTTTTCCTATACTCCTGAAGAAAATGGGATGAAAGATACTCAAAATAATCTGAAAAAAATAGTGTGCCCCCCCCCGTTTTTGAGGTATAACTTTGAATAAAGTACACACATCTAAAAGTATCATGTGAGGAATTTTTACATATGCTTACACCTGTGTAATCATTATACAGATCAAAATACAGATTATTTCTAGCATCTCTGCAGGCTCCTTTGTGCCCCATCCTAGTCATTAACCTCCAGAAAGATGACCCCTATTTTTAAAAAAAAAAAAAAAAGAAAGTTTTTTTTTAATGTTTTATTTATTTCTTCCTAGAAGAAAGAGAGAGAGACAGCGTGAGCAGGGAAGGGTCAGAGAGAGAGGGAGTCACAGACTGAAACAGACTCCAGGCACTGAGCCGGCAGTCAGCACAGAGCCCGACGCGGGGCTCGAACCCACGAACCACGAGATCATGACCTAAGCGAAAGTCGGACGCTTAACCGACTAAGCCACCCAGGCGCTCCAAGATGACCCCTATTTTAACGTCTCTAATCACAGATTAGTCTTGCTTGGTTTGAGCTTCATATGAACGGTATTTTGTAGTGCGTTTTCTTTTTTCCCTTGATGCTTTGTCTATGAGATTTATCAGGTTTGAATATGAATTTTCAGAGACCTTCAGATAACTGTGAGGACTGAATGTAATCTTGCTCATTTTTTCTTTTTCATTTTGTACTTCCTTGTTCATCAGTCCCCACTCACAAAAAAATTCCAGTTTAAACCAAAATTTCCTCATTCCACATGTTTTATCATGTCAGAAAGTTAGGAGCCATATGGAATAAGGAAACCAGATTTTTCCTTTGGATCTACAACAGATCCTGTCGCTTAGGTCAAGTCCTTTAACCCAAAAGACTTTTGATTCTTCATTTATAAAATGAGGAAGACAGGGTCGCCTGGGTGGCTTAATTCGTTAAATGTCCCTAAGATCTCACAGTTCATGAGATCTCACAAGCCGTGAGATCAAGACCCCCACATTAGGCTCTGCCCTGACATCCTGGAGCCTGCTTGGGATTCTCTGTCTCCCTCTCTCTCTCTCTCTCTGCCCCTCCCCAGCTTGCAAAAAATGAGGAAGACAGCAGCACTTTACCTACTGTTATCAAAGCCCTGTGAATATCAGATGAATGGAATGCGTTGGAAAAAATTTTCAAATGCAAGTGATTATTTCTTTTTGGCATCAGAGTCCTATTATTAGTCCCTATTAAATAACTTTAAATCCTCCTAGCCATAAAAAATCCATTCATAATATGCAAAATACTGCCTAGTAATTGTTAGTTGTTAAGTTACTTGGAATATTAAAACTATAACCTCTGTTCTTCAGTTGTTAGGAATCTACCTAGACAGGGCACACTGTAGTAGATGAAAAATTAGAGGAAGGTAATACCAAGACAACATTAGATTGGTCTCCTTGTGAGTGTAAATGTAATATACATTATAGGTGGGCAAGTCAGGAATGAGGTGATGGTGGGTAAGGCAAAAATAAATAGAGTCTCAAGAAGAAGTGGGGCTTAAGCAAACTTCGGAAAGCTCTTGAATATCCATGTTATAATCTTGGGTGGAGAGTGAGAACACCTGAATCTCAACAGCATTAAAAGAATAGGTCTGGGGCGCCTGGGTGGCTCAGTCGGTTAAGCGTCCAACTTCGGCTCAGGTCATGATCTCGCCGTTCGTGGGTTTGAGCCCCATGTCGGGCTCTGTGCTGTGCTGACAGCCAGCTCAGAGCCTGGAGCTGGTTTCGGATTCTGTATCTCCCTCTTTCTCTGACCCTCCCCTACTCATGCATAAATTTTAAAAAAGCAAAAAAAAAAAAAAAACCATTAAAAGAATCTGAGAAGCTAAACACCTGACTCATCCAAACAACAGAATTGTTTTCAGAAATTTTTTAAATGATCATTGATTTTTTTAAAAATCACACCATCGTAGTTATTAAAGAATTGTTGAAGGTTGATGTGATTCCATAGGATACAGGGACACTTGGTGATCAAGTTATACACAGTGGACTGAGAGTTGAATCTAGGGAGCAGGAGACTTGCAATTATAGCAGTCTTGCTGGTTATGAACAAGTTATCAGAGTTCTAAAGTGTAACATTGTAAAATTGTGGAACATTTATGCTAACATGTCTTTTTAAGTCTTTTTACATTTAAGCTAGGTAGACTCTGGGAATCTCAATTAGAAGTAAGTGAAGTCCCAGATCCTCTAGGTAAACAACACTACTGTAATGGGGGAAAACTGTGTCCAAGTAAATGCTACTTGTAAATATAAATTGACTTAGTTTTTCTGAATTATTTGTTTCGTGTATATATAGTCCTTTAAATATTAAGTATTTAAATACATTTTAAAAATTGTTCTGATCTTTGCTGTCCTATTTGAATAGACATTTTTCTTTTTCTTTTTTCTTTTTTTTAACTTCAGAACCTTTATATTTAAAGTACCCAGAAATGAAAAGAAAGGTAGGGAATGCTGGCAAGCTGAGATTGAGTCCTAATGAGGAAGCTTCTGTTTTAAAAGAAGATTATGAAAGAAGACGAAAACTAAGATTGCTGCAGGTAAGATTCATTTAGGACAAAGTTTCAAATTCTCCGTCTTCCCCAAATTATTAGTGTTTTTACAGTAGAGAGTTGTAGATGTTTCATTTAAAGCCCTTTTCTGTCTGTATAAGAGCCCTGGTTCTTGAGTATTAACTAGTTTTGGAGAATTCGAAAAATAGGCTGAAATAGTAAATAGATAAAGAAGAGCTTGAGGCTAGGGATTATTTGACTTGATAATTATTCGAAAATCATTCTTTAAACATTTTTGAAATTGTGTGTTACTGTTGAGGATTAGAGTAGGAAGATTAGGATGACTTTGAAGACTTATTGGAAAGATTATTAGGTGCCGCAACAAATTTATTAAGAAGTTGTAGATTATTTTCTAGAGGTCTTCTCAGAGTAAGACAGTTAAGTCCTTGTGAAGCATGTTTTGGGTACCATTCTGTCTAGAATTGGGGATGATGTACCACAAACATGGACTTCTCATCTAGCTGTATCTGTATTCACCTAGGGTAGAAATTTTGTTGATCATCCTTACCATTTTAACCTCTTATAGGTTATTAAAATGACCATGGTAATCCTGTTAGTGCTTGGGTTGGGGAGAAGACAAGAGCTAATAAAGCAGAGAACTTTAGAAGTAGTCTTGAGGATTTAACTTCTTACCTGATTTGGATTTTCTGCTTTTGGTAGGCCATATATGGATATTCAGGAAAATTGATGCCTGAGAAGAATTCATTTAAGTTTGTATTTCCAAGTAGCTTTTCAGAAAACTTGAAGTAAGCCTCTTTTCATATAATCTGTTAAATATGCATTCTTTAGGTTCGAGAACAAGAAAGGGATATCGCTTTTCAGATAAGAGAAGATATAAAACAGAGGAGAAATCAGCAATTAGCTCGTTTGGCAGAGGAACTAAGGACAGAATGGAAAGAATCACAAACTCAGAAAATAAAGAACTTGGAAAAACTGTATTTGGCAAGTTTAAGAAATATGGGAGAGGGACACCAACAAGCCAAAGAAAATGTAAGTGAACACTTACTGACCACCTGTATGGTAGTAGTAATGGTTAAAAAGTAAGTTACAGTTACTCAATGTTTGTCTGGTATAAATGTATACACGTAGAGAATTTATTTTGGGCAGCCTAAACTTATGTTTTCTACAATCGTTTTTTAAAATTATAGTTGACATACAATATTATATTAGTTTCAGGTGTACAACATCATGGTTCAGCAATTACCTTATGTGGTGTTCACCCTGATAATTGTGTATATAGTTACCATCTGTCCCCACTCAGAGTTATTACAATAATACTGATTATATTCCCTCTGATGTTTCTTTTCATTCCTATGACTGATATATTTTATAGTGACAAATTTGTACCTCTTAATCCCCTTCATCTATTTCACCCATCCCCCCCCCACTCACCTCTGGCAACCACCAGTTTGTTCTCTGTATTTATTAGTCAGTTTCTTATTTTTTTGTTCATTTGTTTTGTCTTTTAGATTTCACATACAAGTGAAATCATAAGGTATTTGTCTTTCTCTGTCTGAATTATTTTACTTAGCACATTACCTGTAGGCTTTCCATACTGTTGGAAATGGCAAGATCTCATTTCTTTTTTTTTAATGACTGATATTCCATTGTGTATATACACCATAGCTTCTTTATCTATTTATATATCCATTTATATTTATAAATTTATATCCATTTATAAGTGGACACTTAGGTTACTTCTGTATCTTCGCTATTATAATAAATCTGCAATAAACGTGGGGGTGCACATATCTTTTCAAATTCATGTTTTTCATTTTATTTTGATAAATACCCAGCAGAATTACTAGTATTTTTATTTTTAATTTTTTGAAGAACCTCCATACTGTTTCCACAGTGACTGCACCAATTTACATTCCCACCTACAGTGCACAAGGATTCCCTTTTATATACTCACCAACACTTGTTATTTCTTTTTGATACTAGCCATTCTGACAGGTGTAAGGTGATAAATCATTGTGCTTTTGATGTATATTCCTTTAATTAGTGCTGTGGAGCATCTTTTCATGTGTCTGTTGGCAGCCATATGTCTTCTTTGAAAAACTGTGTATTTAAGTCCTCTGCCCATTTTTAAATTGGGTTATTTGATTTTTGTTGTTTTGAGTTATATGAGAACCTTATATAGTTGATATTAATGCTATATCATTAATTAATGCTAATTAATTAATAATCTGATTATCATTAATTAATCATGTATCAGATTGTTATCTGATATATCATTTACAGATATCTTCTTCCTTTAGTAGGTTACCTTTTCGTTTTTTTGATGATTTCCTTCACTGTGAAAAAGCTTTCTAGTTTGATGCAGTTCAGTAGTTTATTTTTGCTTTTGTTTCCTTGCCTAAGGAAACATATCCAGAAAAATAATGCTAAGGCTGATTTCCAAGAGATTACTATTTATGTTTTCTTTTAAGAATTTAATGGTTTCAGGTCTTACATTTATGTCTTTAATCCATTTTGGGTTAACTTTTGTATATGGTACAAGAAAGTGGTCCAGTTTTATTCTTTTGCATGTGGCAGTCCAGTTTCCAATACTATGTATTGAAGAGGCTGTTTTTTCTGCATTGTATATTCTTGCCTACTTTGTCACAGATTAATTGACAGTGTAAACACGGGTTTTTTTCTGGCTTCTGTGTTCTGCTCCATTGATCTATGTGTCTGTTTATGTGGTAGTGCCATACTGTTTTGATTATTACAGCTTTGTAATACAGTTTGAAATCAGCAAGTGTGATGCCTCCAGTTTTCTTCTTGCTTAAGATTGCTTTGGCTCTTTGGAGTCTTTGTGATTGTGTACAAATTTTAGAATTATTTGTTCTAAGGACTTCTGGGTGGCTTAGTCGGTTAAGCGTCCGACTTTCGCTTAGGTCGTGATCTCGCGGTTCGTGGGTTCGAGCCCCGCATCGGGCTCTGTGCTGACTGCCGGCTCGGAGCCTGGCGCCTGTTTTGGAGTCTGTCACTCCCTCTCTCTCTGACCCTCCCCTGCTCATGCTGTCTCTCTCTCCTAGAAATAAATAAAACATTTTTAAAAATTAAAAAACAACAACAACAACAAAAGAATTATTTGTTCTAGTTCTGTGGAAAACCTTGTTGGTACTTCGCTAGGGATTGCATTGACTCTATAGATTGCCTTGGGTAGTATGGACATTTTAACAATATTAATTTTTCTAATTCTTGAACATTATATACCTTTCCATATATATGTGTCATCTTCAGTTTCTTTCATCAGTGCTTTATAATTTTCAGAGTATAGTTCTTTTCACCTCCTTGGTTAAATTTATTTCTAGGTATTTTATTCTTTGTGATATAATTGTAATTGGGATTGTTTTCTTAATTTCATTTTCTCCTACTTTGGTATTACGGTATAGAAATGCAACAGAATTGTGTATATTAATTTTGTATCCTACAGCTTTACTGAATTCATTTATTTCAGTAGTTTTTTGGTGGAGTCTTTAGGGTTTTCTGTATGTAAAATCATGTCATCTGCAAATAGTGACAGTTTTACCCATTCCTTTCTAGTCTGAATGCCTTTTATCTCCTGTGTGATTTCTGTGGCTAGGAAGTACAGTACTGTGTTGAATAATAGAGTAGACGTACTTGTCTTGTTTCTGATCTTAGAGGAAGAGCTTTCAACATTTTACCTGCGAGTATGATGTTAGTTGTGGGAGTCTCATAAATGGTCTTTTGTTATCTTGAGATATGTTCCCTCTGAACCCATTTTGTTGAGAGTTTTTGTCATGAACAGATGTTGAATTCATTCCTGGTATAAATCATATTTGATCGTGGTAGATGATCCTTTTAATGTATTGTTGAACTCAGTTTGCTAATATTTTGTTGGGGGTTTTTGCATCTATATTGATCAGGGATTTTGGTCTATGATTTTTCTTTTTCTGTAGCTTCTACCTGGTTGTGGTATCAGGGTTATGTTGGCCTTATAGAGTGCATTTGGAGGCATTCCTCCCTCTTCTATTTTATGGAATAATTTGAGAAGGGTAAGTATTAATTCTTTTTTAAGTGTTTGGGAGAAGTTCGCCAGGAGCCATCTGGTCTTGGACTTAAATTTTTTGAGAGTTTTTTTAAATTATTAATTGAACTTTAATATTAGTGATCAGTCTGCTCATATTTTCTTCCTGATTCAGTGTTGGAAGATTGTTTCTGGGAATTTATCCAGTTTTTTTCTAGGTTGTCCATTTTGTTAGTATATAATTTTTCATAGCAGTGTTTTTTTTTTAATACTTTATTGTCAAGTTGGTTTCCATGTAACACCTAGTGCTCATCCCCACAAGTGCCCTCCTCCATGCCCATCTCCCCCCTCCCCCCCCACACCCAACAGTCCTCAGTTTGTTTCTCAGCATTCAAGAGTCTCTCATGGTTTGCCTCTCTCCCTTTCCCCACCATTTCCCTCCTTCTTCTCCCCCATGGTCCTCAGTTAAGCTCCTTCTAATCCTCCTATACGTGCAAACATATGATATTTGTCCTTCTCTGCCTGACTTATTTCGCTCAGCATAACACCCTCAAGGTCCATCCATGTTGCTACACATGGCCAGATTTCATTGTTTCTCATTGCCATGTAGTATTCCATGGTATAGATAAACCACATCTTCTTGATCCATTCATCTGTTGATGGACACTTAGGCTCTTTCCATGTTTTAGCTATTGTGGAGAGTGCTGCTATGAACATTGGGGTACATGTGCTCCTATGCCTCAGCATTTCTGTATCCCTTGGGTAAATTCCTAGCAGTGCTATTGCTGGGTCATAAGGGAGTTCTATTGTTAGTTTCCTGAGGAACCTCCACACTGTTTTCCAGAGGGGCTGTACCAGTTTACATTCCCACCAACAGTGTAGGAGGGTGCCCATTTCTCCACATCCTCGCCAGCATCTAGAGTTCTCTGATTTGCTCATTTTAGCCACTCTGACTGGCGTGAGGTGGTATCTCAGTGTGGTTTTGATTTGTATTTCCCTGATGAGGAGGGATGCTGAGCATCGTTTCATGTGTCTGTTGACCATCTGGATGTCCTCTTTGGAGAAGTGTCTGTTCATATCTTCTGCCCATTTCTTCACTGGGTTGTTTGTTTTTTGGGCGTGTAGTTTGGTGAGTTCCTTATAGATTCTGGATATTAACCCTTTATCTGATATGTCATTTGCAACTATCTTTTCCCATTCCGTTGGTTGCCTGTTAGTTTTATGGATTGTTTCTTTTGCTGTGCATATGTTTATTTTGAGAGAGAAACAGAGCACGAGCAAGGGAGGGGCAGAGAGAAAGGGAGACTCAGAATCTGAAGCAGGCTCCAGGCTCTGAGCTGTCAGCACAGAGCCCAGCGTGGGGCTTGAACCCATAAGCCATGAGATCATGACCTGAGCCAAAGTCAGATGCTTAGCCAACTGAGCCACCCAGGCTTCTCAGCACCCCATGTCTTTTTGATTGGAAGATTTAGTTCATTTACATTTAAAGTAATTATTGATATGTATGTACTTATTGCCATTTTGTTGTTTTCTGATTGTTTTTGTAGTTCTTCTGTGTCCCTTTCTTCCTTTCTTGCTTTCTTTGTGTTTTGATGACTTTCTTTAGTGTTACGTTTGGATTTCTTTCTTTTTATTTTGTGTGTCTATTATAGGTTTTCGGTTTGTGGTTATCATGAGGTTCATATTAGGTATCCTATATATATAGCAGTCTATATTAAGTTGATGGTTGCTTAAGTTCAGACATTATAAAAATGTTAAATTTGTATTGCCCCTTTACATTTTATATATGTGGTATAATATTTTACATTGTTTTATGTGTCCCTTAACTAATTATTATAGATATAATTGATTCTACGACTTTTATCCTTTAACCTTCATACTAGCTTTATAAGTGATAAACCAGTGGAATTTTTTTCTTTCATAGTTTTCTCACTTCTAGTTATGGCCTTTTCTTTTCCACTCAAAGAAATCTCTTTAACATTTCTTATAAGGCTGGTTTCAAGGTGATGATTTAATTGTTGATGTTTTAATTGTGTGTCTTGGTGTGGGTCTCCTTGGTTTCATGTTGTTAGGTGCTCTGTTTACTTCCTGGACCTAGAAATCTGTTTACTTCCCCAGGTTAGGAAAGTTTTCAGGTATTGTTTGTTCAAATACGTTTTTTTGTTCCCCTTTATTCTCCTCTGGGACCCTTGTATTGTGAATGCTATTACACTTGATTGTGTCTCGGGTCCCTTAATCTATCCTCATTATTCTTATTATGATTATTCATTTTTATTTTTGTTGTTTAGCTTGGGTGCTTTCCACTACCCTTTTTTCCAGCTAACTGATTCATTCTTAAGTTTATTTGTTTATTTTGAGAGAGAGCATGAGAGCAGGGGAGGGGCAGAGAGAGGGAGAGACAGAATCCTAAGCAGGCTCTGTGCTATCAGCAAGGAGCCATACCCGGGGCTTGAACTCCCAAACTGGGAGATCATGACCTGAGCCAAAATCAAGAGTGGACCCTTAATCAACTGAGACACCCAGGTGCTCTGTGATTGGTTCTTTTTAATATTTTCTATCTCTTTAAGTTCTCACTGAATTCATCCACTTTTAAATTTGGTGAGCTTCTTTCTTACCATTACTGTGAACTCTTTACCTGGTATATTGCCTGTCTCCATTTTGTTTAGTTCTTTTCTGCGGTTTTGCCTTGTTCCTTTTGTTTAGAACATATTCCTCCATCTCCTCATTTTGTCTGATTTTATGTGTTTGTTTCTGTGAATTAGGTGGAGTTCCCTCTCCTGGTCTTGAGGGAGTAGACTTATATAGGAATGTCCCCAGTGTAGACCGAGTGTGCCCAGCAGCTATTGCCGGCCAGCTGGAGCTGGTGTGGTCATAGTCCAGGGGCCTGATTGCTACACTGCAGGGCCACCCTGGTGGGACAGCTAGAGTGGGCATAGGCCAGGGGTCTCAGGTGCTCTGTGCTGGGGCCACCCTGGCAGGATGACTGCACTGGAGCAGGCTGGGGTTCCTGGGGTGCTCCATGCTGGGGCTGCCCCAGCAGACCTGCCTCAACTTTTCTATATATTAATATAATTCAGTAATCCTGGTCGATGCATTTCTTAGGAAAAATCACTGTCCTGCAAAACCTGTCTTCATATGATGTTTAAATTGGAAATATTCTCTTCCAGTACTTAACCATCTGGGTAAATATAATAACCTTCTGAATCTGAAGTTGTTTCAAGCAATTTGGACAGATTCATTGGGCAGAATTCAGATCTCCCATTTTAGAGGGAAATGTTTTAGAGGGTATGAGGAAATGTTTGTGGAATATGTATACGCTTGCATTTGATTCACAAACAATAATACTTTGTCTTTCAAAAAGAAAAAGTAGAACTTAGTATTTAAGTATTTAGTATTTAAGACTATTCCCAGACCATGTGTTGTTTATTGTGATTTATGGTTGGAAAATACTAGATTGTGGTCTCAGAGACAGCCGCACAAAATAAACAACCTGGTTCCAAAAAAATTGTTTGATATCAAACAATTAGTGAAGAAAATAAGTATCCTTAAAATATGTGACAATGAAATATGGTCCTTGATCCCTGAGTTTAATCTGTTTTCAGTAATAGCCTTAGGTTGTGACATCTGATTTTTGTAGTTTTATTTATGCCACCATTAACTTTGTGCTTTAAGTGCAATGTTTCCTAAACCTCAGTCATTTGAATACCTTCATGATTTTAGCCCTGACTGGAGAACCACCCATATTATTTGTCTGGCATTTTAATCTTGTTGAACATAACATTTTAAGTAATATATATTTTTAGGAACCTGATTTGAATGCTCTGGCACGGCGGGCAGCAGAAAGAAAAAGAAAAGCAGAAATGAGGCATAAAGAGGCTCTGAAATTACAGAAAAATCAAAAAGAAGAACTAATGAAACAAAAAACATGGTAAAGTAATAATGATTTTTATCATATTTTCCACTGGAACCAATAGGGTTAGAAGTAGAGAATACATTGGATACTATTTAAACAGATAGTACATATAAGTTATGGGGTATATCAATTGGTTTTTTTAAACTTGGTTTAAAAATAATGCATTCGGGGACACCTGGATGGCTGAGTCAGTTAAGCATCCAGCTTGTGATCTCAGTTCAGGTCTTGATCTCAGGGTTGTGAGTTTGGTCCCCCTGTTGGGCTCCATGCTGGGTGTGAAGTCTACTTAAAAGTAAAATAAAATAAAAATAATGTTGTGGGGGTGTGGTTTGCCTAGGTGAGCAAATTAACAAATGACTTCAGCAATTACTTAGTTTCTAGAGAAAAGTGTGGCTAGTTCAAAATGCATGTCCCCCTAGATCTGTCTGCCTCTGTGTAAAAAAAGAAAAATCAGTGCAGTTAAGAGCACGGAAAGAGATTCAGACTATTGGCAAATCATTTAATGTGTATTTTTGCATGTTGTAAAAATGATGGAGCCCCTTACTAATCAACAGTGCTCATTTTATACAGTGGCCCGTCTTTATCAACATTTCTAGTTTTTTGTACTCTAAACCCTTGTAAATTAAGAAGCATTAGATGTTTGTTGGGTCACTTTCAGTGTAGGACTTTATGTCTTTAGATACACGTCTTGGGGCGCCTGGGTGGCTCAGTCGGTTGAGCGTCTGACTTCGGCTCAGGTCTTGATCTCACGGTTCATGGGTTTGAGCCCCGCATCAGGCTCTGTGCTGACAGCTAGCTCAGAGCCTGGAGCCTGCTTCAGATTCTGTATCTCCCTCTCTCTCTGACCCTCTCCTGCTCATGCCCTCTCTCTCTCAGAAATAAATAAAACATTATAAAAAAAATAGATACATGTCTTTTACTTGTAAACATTTTCTTACATGTCCGTTGTGTAGAGACTTATTATTAAACAGCGTATTGAGCCTGTGGGATAAGACTGGAGAATTTCTTGAGATCCTCTGCCTTTTATATTTTAGACTGTAAGGGTTGTGCTGTAATATTACCTAAGGGATTAATATAGGACATCTCTTGTTTTTTTCAAGGCATATAACAGCTCGAAAGGAAGCACTACTTGTGGAAAAAGAGAGATCTGCCAAAATTACAAGTCTGCCACCACCACCTCCAAGTCTTTTTGAGGTGAATTACTTGGAGCGTTGAGAAGAACTAGGTTATAATAATTCTTGACTATTAGAATTCAATGCAGGTCAAAATTTCATTTGCTTAAACTTAATTTTTAAATTTACAGGTAATACACGAGTATGTCTAGAGTATTTAAAAATAATCCTAGATACTTTTTATCCATTCTTTAGTATATATCTCTGATGTGTAAGGATGTTTTTTAAATACAGTTTTAGTATTCCTGATACCTAATACCCAGTCTATATTCAGTTTTCAGCAATTGCCTTAATTTTTTTTAGTTGTTTCAAAAGCTGTTTTTGATTTTTTTAAAGCTATAAATGGTTTGGTCTTTTTGGTTTTTTTTTTAATGTCCTTTATTTTGGGGGGGAAAAACTGGATTATTTGCCCTGTTGACTTTTTACACTCAAGATTTGGGCATTGTAAATGGTTACCATTTTACAGATAAAGAAGTTAGGTTCAGATAAGTTTATAAATTTACACAAGACTACATAAAGTGGATAAGAGATGTCTATTTGTCTATGGGAGTAATATGTGTGCTTTTGTGATTCGGAGCTTGTTTTAGAAAAGACATTTATTAAGTAAAATGGAAATGAATCTTAAAAGGTATTGGTTCTTTTGTTTTACAGTAGTTGTAGTTATTGAAATGGCTGTTTGGGTGATTATCACAATTACATAGTTATTTCTATCTAAAAAGTAGAAATAAAAAAACCCCATAAGTAGAGGGATATCTAATTTCATTGTATATACAGGCATATCTTATGTATGCAAGATCAGCATAAGTACCAGATGTGGGCCTCTTTAAGGCCTTCATTTTGTCAGCTTCCCTGCTTTTATGCGGAGCCATCTGCCATGGGACATTTGATCCAAAAGATTCAAATAGGAGCATTTCAGATTTCAGTCACTCTGTCAGTACCACCTCCCTCGGTACCGAGTTAAAACGCAAGCAGCATTTTATCCATGATACCTTTTGATTACATTTATTGTAATTCCTAATGTTCCTAACCAGTCAGGGTCAAATATTTACATAAAGCAAACAAAGCATTATCTGTGTAAATGATCTGACAAATAGGAATTATATGCAAATCTGTAGTTGTACTTTTTCCGCCAAGTTTTTATTATGAAAATTTTTAAAATACAGAAAAGTTAAAAGGCAAGTACAGTTAAATGAATAGCTGTTTACATCTATATATGTATGTATAGATTTCACATAAGAATAAGGACATTCTCATATGCAACCACAGTATCACACTGAGGAAGTTAATAGGTTTTTAATACCATTTAATATAGAGTCCATGATTAAGATTCTCCAGTTGTCTCTAAATTGTTTTATCTTACAACTTCATATATGTATATGTATACACACACACACACACACACACACACACACGATTTATTGTCAAGTTAGCTAACATACAGTGTATACAGTGTGCTCTTGGTTTTGTAGGGACAACTTCTTTCTTTTTTAAATAGGATTCCAGTTGGGTTTCACCTGTTGCTTCTGCTTGTTTTGTCTCTTAGTGTCTCTCAATCTAGAACATTCTCACACTCAACCCTAGTCAACTTTTGTATTTTAGACTTTTTGAAGAGACTAATTTCTCATATTCTGTTTGTCTCATTTGGTTATGGTGGTGACTACAAGGCATCTCTATCGTAAAGGTATATTTTGCTCTGTTCAGTTATCAAGTTATCTGGGAGGCCGGATAATCTGGGAGGTGATACTCTGGCACCAGATAGGTATCTGTCATCCTTCTACTTTTATGCACGGTCTTATTTCCATTTGAAAAACAAGTTTCTCATCACTGGACATGCACCACCATAACCAAGTGATCAAACCTAGAATCCATATTAAGAGAGCAGCTTGCCATTATGTACATTCTAATGTTACTCAGTAAACTATACAGTATCAACAATTTAATATTCTTACCTAAGTATGCTCTAGTTTTTCAACCTGTGTTTCATGTTAATGGAACTATAGTGCATGATCCCCATGTAAGAAAGATGAATAAGGATAATGGGTTAGATACAAAATTACTTTTTTTATAGGGTTCAGCTTTAATTGAAATACTGTTACCTAATAATCCATTGTCTATGTTCCTTTTTCAGAACGTTGAATTAAAAAAAACTTCTCATGTGAAAACCAGTAGTTCTACCTATCATCATCTCCACGCTTTTGTGAATAGAGAGATGGATAGAAACCAGGTGATTGACTTATTGTTGTTCATGATCCTCACTTTATTTCTCGTTCATTGAAGTGAGTTGTATCTATACGTGTTCTTTATGAAAAATTTGCCACTATAAACATAAACTATAGGAAAATAGCTACCAATTTCATCACCAAAGAGTAATGTGATTCCTACATTAATGAATTCATTATAGTCTTTATATATAAATATATGCATACACTTTTCAAAACATAATTTTTATGGATATCATAGAGTTTACTTAACCATTGTTCTTTTATTTCTTTTTGCTTCTGTAAATAATGCAAACATAATCTTGTACATTTTGACCTATAATTCTGAGGTATGTTTAGAAAAGATTCTTGGAGGAAAAATTATTGGTTACAAACTATAACAATTGATACAGATACTTGATACGGATCATTAAATTGCCTTTTAAAAAGTATCAGCAACATATGAAAATGAGCATCTTTATCATACCCTTATCCAGTTCCTTGTATGGATTATTATGATTTAGAAAGTATTACCAGTTTTAAGAGTGATAAATGAATCCTTGTTATTATAATTGCTATTTCTTTGTAACTAGATTCTAATTTCTTTTCATGTTGGATATATTTGGCTACTAAGAAAACAAACTTTCCCAATATAGCTTTCTTATGGAGATCAGAATGCAGCAAATACGCATTTTGGTTAACTGCTTAATGGCAGATGTTAAAATCAATATTCAGTTCAAACCTGAGATAGATGAGTATTCTCATCATAGAATTAACTTTTAATAAAAAGAATAAATCTTGATTTGTTTAAAATCGTAAATTATTATTTTGCAACTTTAATAGTATTGTAACATAGGGACAATAACGTCAATCTGTGGCTAACCTGCTTTTGTGGTTACTGCACTACATTTTGCAGTATTAAATAGATGTTCTCTCTCAAATAAGATAGGTAAAAACATTTTTTTAGCTAGGTGTTGTATAGTGTACTGCTGATGGGGTTACAGCAAGTTATTAAACTTTCCTCTTTAATAGTAAATAAAAGAGCTCTCTCTTCAGTTGCTGGATTGAAGTTTGGATCAGTACTTACAATGTAGTTTTAGAAAAAACACTCTCACAAACTAAGCATTTTGATATTTGCTTTATTTGCTACTTTATGCCATCACTTAGGAAAAATCTGCCTTTAAACCTTGGGTTTAAAATGTAACAGTGGAGGGGTGCCTGGGTGGCTCAGTCAGTTGGGCATCTGACTTTGGCTCAGGTCATGATCTCACAGCTTGTGAGTTCAAGCCCCATGTCGGGCTCTGGGGTGACAGCTAAGAGCCTGGAGCCTGCTTTGTATTTTGTGTCCCTCTTTTACTCTGGCCCTCCCCTGCTCATTCATTTTTCTCTCTCTCTCTCTTTCATAACTAAACATTAAAAAATTAAAAATAAAATGTAACAGTGGAGCAGTGTGTTAGGTTTTCAAGATAAAAAAATTACCTCTGAATTTTCATCTGCATCTTGTTTCTCTCTCTTTTTTTTTTTTTTTTTTTTTTTTTTTTTAATTTTTAAGAGAGACAGAGCATGAGCTAGAGAGGGAGAGACACAGAGACAGAATCAGAAACAGGCTCCAGGCTCTGAGCTATCAGCACAGAGCTCGAAGCAGGGCTCGAACTCACGAACTGTGAGATCATGCCCTGAGCTGAAATCGGATGCTTAACCGACTGAGCCACCCAGGAGCCCCTGTATCTTATTTCTTTAGCAGCTTTCTGCAAATAAATGACTTGCGTATGTTCAGCCAACCTTTTTAACATTACAAGTGCACAATGTTTCGTTAGAATACCCTGAATAAAGAAGCTTTAAAATCTCTTTTAGGTAATAAATTTGGTCTTTGGCTTCAGAATTATGAGGTAGTCTCTTGTATCCCCACTTAGAACCAGTTACTCTCAATTACATTTAGCTACGTTTACTTTCTGTGCACACAATGAAGAAAACATGATTACAGTTTCTAAATTACTCATGGCCTTCATTGCATTTGTTCCTTTGTCAATGACAGTTGCATAGCAACTTGTTGAAAATGGATTTTTTTGTCCCTAGAAGTATTTTTCCAGTCAGATACACTATTGTTTGCTGTGACACCCAGAAATATCTTTAGACAAGCAGAAACAGTTAAGTTCATCAGTTATTCTGCTGTCCAAATGTCTGACATACAAGATGCAGAAGTACCATATTTAATAATATCACTCACATTATGTGCACTGCAGATTTTAATTCATGGAAGAATTTTTTAGAAACATTTTCTAAAAAAAATATCGCCTGGGTTTCACAGTTTTTGCAAATTTCATATACCTTTTGAGTTCAACTGCTAAAAATTTAATCTGACAATTATTTCAACAAGATTTTTGTCTACATTTTTAGTTTCATTAACACAAGTCTATAAGGGATTGTCTTCTTAAAGCATGCTTATAGAATCTTGTTTTCAAGTTTGGGCAGTCACGCTAACCTTTTATTTTCTTCATATCCTCTATGTACCTCATTATATTTGGATCGCACATTTATTGTGAATGTTGTATATTTTTGAAGTTTTTCCTTCCCTTAAAATTTTGGTTGAGCACAATTGACATACTGCTGTTAATTCACCCTTAAATGCTGTGGTGAAAATTGCTAAACAATATTTTTCTAAAAAACGTCATGGCCTGGGGCACCTGGGTAGCTCAGTCAGTTAAGCATCTGACTTCTGCTCAGGTCATGATCTCTTACTGCTTGTGAGCTTGTCAAGCTCCACATTGGGCTCTGTGCTGACAGCTCAGAGCCTAGAGCCTAATTCAGATTCTGTCTCCATCTCTCTGCCTCTCCCCTGCTCTTGCTCTGTCTCTCTGTCTCTTTCTCTCTCTCTCTCACAAATATAAAATAAAATAAAACCTAAAAAAATTTTTTTTAAAGTTATGGCCTAAATGGAATGAAATACTGTTCTTAAAGATTACTTTATTTAATTTTATACATTTTAATTCCCTAAATAATTTTTTTGGAGATTAAAATGCTGATTCAGTCTAACCTTTGTTCTGCCTGGTGTTCTGTAGATTTTCACAAATATTTATTGGCTCAAAAGGGGTATAATTTTTCTTGAATTATATTAGAGTTTATAGGCTTGCCTTTCTTATAGCCATTCTATACTATCCACATAAAAGCTGCATTTTCAGTATGAGGTGAAAAGTTATTTTGCAAATAATGCAAGGTTTTCATGCCTGCTATTATAGCTGCAGCTATAACTGTATAAATTTCCTTTTCTTCTTTAACAATGGTCCTTACTCTGGGTTCATTTATCCTTTTTTTTTTTTTTTTTAATGTTTTCTTTATTTCTGAGAGAGAGAGAGAGAGAGACAGCATGAGAAGGGGAGGGGCAGAGAGAGAGGGAGACACAGACTCTGAAACAGGCTCCAGGCTCCGAGCTGTCAGTACAGAGCCCGACGCGGGGCTCGAACCCACGAACTGAGAGATCATGACCTGAGCTGAAGTTGGACGCTTAACCGACTGAGCCACCCAGGTGCCCCTGGGTTCATTTATCCTGAAATGACAGGTGACCACAGCTGCAGCCCACAGTCCACAGAACATATGAAGCAATGCAACTTTTTCTTGTAATATCATGACTTTACATTGCTTCTTAGGAGCACTTCTAGCATCGTTAGTGGTACTTTGTATGGGTCCCATGAACATGATGTTATGCAAGGTTTATGACACTGCACTAATAAACACGATAAAAAATACACAGGCACCACAAGACATCACTTTTTACCATATGCAGTTTACTGGAGAGGTGAATTGCTCATGTAGAAATGATTAATGTCAGTGTTTTAATCAGATAACGACACTTGAGCTCACTGCAATAGCAACAAGAAGTGGCTAAAAAATTATTATGCGGTTACCTGGGTAGCTCAGTGGGTTGACCATCCTACTCTTGGTTTCAGCTTAGGTCATGATCTCATGGTCATGAGATGGAACCTGCTTAAGAGTCTCTTTCTTCCTCTGCCCCTCCCCTCTGCTTGTGCTCTCTCTCTCCCTCTAAAAAGTAAAGATAAAAAATAATTATGATAGTAGTTTAGTATGTACTACAGTTAACTTTATGCCCATATGACTTAAACATTGAATCTTTATGTCTGTTTACATTTCTTGACTGTGAATGCCTCCACATCTGGTCTATAAGTCTTGTGTTTGTGAGTTTTGATGAATTTTAACTTTTTATATCTATTTATGGTAGTAAATGATTAAATAGACCAGTATCTTACATATATTTTATGCATTCATGACATACCTAACTTTTCTTAATTTTTTTGATATTTCTAGGCTACATGCTTCATCTGAGTTTTTCCAGAGTGTTGCAAATCTCCAAAACATTTTCCAATATATTTATTGGAAAAAACTCATGAATAAGTGGACCTGCACAGTTTTCAACCTGTGTTGTTTAAGGGTCAACTATAGTAGCTTTCATAGTCATCATTCTTAGTTCACTTAAGAATTTCAGCATATAAAATATATAAGATGGTCCCTTAAAGTCACCTTTGTAATGCTTAAACCTATACTTGAAAGTGAACATTCAGGTACAATAGTAAATCCAGGTTATGTGCCCTTTCCCCTCTTATTTGCTATTATTATTGTTAGCTTGGTGAGATGATGTGATTACACACAAGTTTTAGGAAGTTGGGAATTATATTAAAGTAGCTGTTTTGGTGACTTGACCTTCCTGAGGTTGAAGTGAAGCAGCAGCTATTGACCGAAAACCAAGGACAGATCTCAGTTCTTCCCTAAATGACCTTAGATGCATATGGGTTCTTCACTAGCTTGTGAGTGCTGAGAGCACTGTTGTTTTAATGGAGTTTCATAACACAACAATGATGGAGGACTGTGTTTGGATGAGCATAGTGTAATCTGGTTTAAAGTGAACGAATTTGGGGCACCTGGGTGGCTCAGTCAGTTAAGCTTCTGACTTCAGCTCAGGTTACAATCTCATGGTTCGTCGGTTCAAGTCTGACATCGGGCTCTGTGCTGACAGCTAACTCAGAGCCTGGAGCCTGCTTCAGATTCTGTATCTTGCTCGCTCGCTCTCTCAAAAATAAATTTAAAAACATAAAGTGAACAAATTTGTTCAGCTTTCACTAACAATTTGATACTTTTCATATATACATACAGTTGATAATTGTGGGCATATATCTCTTCCTATTTTATTTTATATAAGTAGGGAAGCATGATTTTAAAGTTATTTTTTAGTTATCACTTTGTTTCACAATTTTTAAATTTTCTGAAATTTACTGGTTGACTGCTAGCCAGATCCTCATGTGGCTGCTGAAGAAGAAGCGAAAAGACTGGAAGAAAGACAGAAACAAGCAGCACAAGAGAGAATGGAACAGAGTGAAAAGGCGCATGTACGGGGTTTCCAGGCACTGAAAAAGATCCATTTGGCTCAAGTAAGAATCCTGGCCATCGACGTACCATAGGCTGTAGAACTGATTAGTGAATGGGCTCAGAGGTCAGAGGTGTGAAGAATGCGAAAATACACTCTTTGACTCCTGTCATTTCAAGTTTCCCATTGCACTTTCAGGTTGGGTGAAGCAGTTCTCACAGTTTATTGTTCTTCTAACATTTTTTTGCAATGATGAATGTATTAAACATTTAATATTTTAGTCAGCCAAATGGCCTGAAGAGAAATTGATCACTTTTCTCATTTAATGAATTGGATTTGTGCTCTGTGAATTTTGGGATTCTGTTTATTAAATATTTACTGAGCAAAGCACTTGCTGATTGATTCAGAGGTAGAGTCATGGTCCTTCCTATCAGGAAGCTTTGAAAAAGTGTCACAGAGCTCTAAAATATGTGTAATGAAACCTGGCTTTATAAGTGTAGCTTCACTTCTGTCATGCTTATTTTCGTTGTATTTATCCTCGGAACTTAGGAGAAAATGATCCATTTTAGAAGTCAAATGATTTTATTTTCTGTATTTGACTAATGCATTTGGAAGTTTTTTGGTTTTTTTTTTTTTAAATATTTTATTTATTTCTAGGAGAGAGAAAGCGTGAGCAAGGAAGGGTCAGAGAGAGAGAGGAAGACACAGGCTCCAGGCTCTGAGCTGGCAGTCAGCACAGAGCCCGACATGGGGCTCGAACCCACGAACCGCGAGATCATGACCTAAGCGAAAGTCGGATGCTTAACCGACTAAGCCACCCAGGCGCCCCATGCATTTGGAAGTTTTAAACACTCAGGTGAAGAGTGAGTTTTTAAGTGCTTCTGTAGGAATTAAGAGCCTTAAAGTGGAGCACCTAGGTGGCTCAGTTGGTTAAGTGTTGGACTCTTGATATTAGCTCAGGTCATGATCTCACGGTTTATGAGATCGAGCCCCGTGTCTGGCCCCACGCTGACAGCATGGAGCCTGCTTGGGATTCTCTCTCTCCCTGTCTGCCCTGCCCCCACTCACTTGCACACACTCTCCCCCTCTCTCAATAAATAAACATTAAAAAAAATAAAAGCCTTAAAGTTGATTGGTATAGTTTTAACTGATTCATATATGACCTTCTCACTTAAACTTTTAGATTTTATAAACTGGGAGTAAATTATGACTAGAATAACTGATTATCTGAATTATTACCAATAATTCTCATCCTAAGACTTAAACTGATAGAAAAAAATGTGAAAGACAGTCAAACTGAACACATTGTTCCACACATCAGTAATGTTTCGTGGTTAAGAAATTCCATAGTCTGCCTGGAATTTCTTCTTCACTGCTTAGCTGGTTGACCTCAGGCAAATTACCTAACATCTCTGAATTGTTTCATTGTCTGTTTTTGAAGATGAAGTGAGTTTAGTAAAGCCCTTAGAATAGTGCCTGGAATTCCATAAGCTCACAGCAAATCTCAGTAGTGATCATAGATGTTATTATAAATGATTCAAGCAGAATAATATGCCATATTTGCATTGAGCTAGAAATAGAATATTTATTTCAAAGAACTTTGAAGTTAAATGTAAGGGATTGTTAGAATCTTAATATTAAAAAATGAATCATAAAACTTTACATAAGAATAAGCCCAAGTGTTGTGGGGCCCCTTGGTGGCTCAGTTGGTTAGGTGTCCGACGTGGGCTCAGGTCACAGTCTGACAATTCATGAATTTGAGCCCCGCATCAGGCTCTGTGCTGAGAGCTCAGACCCTGAATTGCGCTTCAAATTCTGTGTCTGCCTTTCTCTTTGCCCTTCCTTTGCTCGCTCGCTCTCTCTCAAAAATAAAGAAACGTTAAAAAAATTTTTTTTAACATTAAAAAAATTAAAAGAAAGAAAAAATAGTGTTGTCTATTATCACTTGGCAAACACCATTACATAGGCTCTCTGCCTTTTTTGTAGGCTCAGTGTCTCTTACATGAAAATGGTCATCAAAACCTGCAATCTCACCGCTAGTAGAGGGTTGCGTTTTCCCTATGTAAACCTTTTTGCTGCAGACTCCATTGTGTCCTGGGATCTTATTTCTTGCTAGTGTCTGTTATAAATAGTATTTGGCCTCTACCTGCCTCTCCAATATTATCTTTTTTCCTTAACCATCCTTGCCCTCCATGCTCTGTCTATCCATTACCTGTGGCAGTTTATTTTCTCCAGATGCCCCATGTCTTCATCTCTATACCTCTGTGCTGCAGTACTTCTTTCTTACTTGTACTCCTTCACCCACTTTTATCTGGCTTAATCCTTGACTCAAAGGATGAGAGGTCTTCCCTTATTCTCTCTCACTATCTCCCACCACTAAAATTCAGTTAGATAACCTCACTAAAACAGTCTGCTTTAACTGTCATATTAGCCCATCTTTTTAAGCTTAAAGACCTATAAAGAGATCCTATTTCATCATGGGGACTCATAAGGATGTGAAGTAACAGGAAATATCTTTTAAGCCGCAGTCACTCTGGGTCTCGGTGCTTCTCTGAGACTGTTCTCTGAGACTCCTCCAGTCTAGGAGTAAGATTGTGTTTCTAGCTTCTAGCATAGTACCTGGCTTTCAATAAAAATTTTTTTAATGAATACTTACTGTCTTGTGGCAGAACACCGAGGAGGGGCAGGGAGGAAGTCCAGTCCCTGTTCTTTGTGACTTCTCCACTTTTCCGTCACTGTGAATAGTACTGTCTAAAGCCTGTGACTCCACTGTTGTTGATTAAGTCTCTGTATTCTTGAAGACTCAGGAGAAACTAATGAAAGAACTCAAACAGCTGCAGCAAGACGACCTGGCACGTAGGAGACAGACTGTCGCGCAGATGCCGCCGCAGCTGGTTGAACTTCCATACAAGCGCAGTGAGATGAAAGAAGACTGGCAGAGAGAGCTGGAATTCGCCTTCGAAGACATGTATAACGCAGACAGGAGTAAGACACTTTCAGTAAACTTTCAACAATGCTTCTAGAAGTGTTTTGGTGGGAAAATACATTTGTATTGGTGAAGCAGTCTTTATTTTGAAATGAGTTCTCAGTTTGAAAGAAGCTCTCATATGTTAGAAACCATAATGGCCTTTAAATTTTATGCTCAAGTTCTTCGTAGTCATTTCAGAATGGAATCATTCTCTCTCTATTTCTTTATTGAGAGGTAAAAGGAAATCTGATTTTGCACCTTGAACCAGAACCTTTGCCCACCGTGACTGATCAGATTCAAGATGAAGAACTGGACCTTTCAATGGAACAAGAAAGTTTAGCGGAAACTGAAAACATTCCAGTGACAGAAGCCGAAATAATATGTTCTAGTGAAGCAGATGGTAAAAACTCCTTCTGAGCTGAAAGTTACAATATTCCATAGAAAAAAATGCTAGAAATTTGCCAGCAGGAAAGTCTGGTCTAATTTCAGTGCAGACAAATAACTAATACTAATGGGGGTGAGGAAGGAAGAAACCGTGTTTTAGGATTTTCATCAACAATCCTAATTTATATGGGAGGAAAGTCATTTTGTTCACATGTACATAGGTTATTCGGCTATTTAAGTTAGATACTCAATTCTAAATTAATTTGAAAACTCAGCACTGTTTTTATTTTTATTTTTTTTTTAATTTTTTTTTTTTTTTATGTTTTATTTATTTCTAGGAGAGAGAGAGAGAGAGAATGTGAGCAGGGGAGGGTCAGAGAGAGAGGGAGTCACAGACTGAAACAGGCTCCAGGCTCCGAGCTGGCAGTCAGCACAGAGCCCGACGCAGGGCTCAAACCCACGAACCGCGAGATCATGACCCAAGCGAAAGTCGGACGCTTAACCGACTAAGCCACCCAGGCACCCCTCAGCACTGTTTTTAGATTTTCATCAAGTCACCAGAGTTCCTACTGTGTTAATAGGAGGAAAAAACTACCAAGTACTTCATAATGATGAATAGCACAAACTTCAGTCTCTCTTCTAAACTTTACCTCTGTCTCCACCATTCTTAACTTTTTCGCTTGGCTATCTCACAGTTACTTAAAGCTCCCTGTCTGATGATAAATCTATCCCCCCTTGTCTACTGAAACCTTGTCTTCTTCATGTTAGTGAATGATACACACATGGCTATCTAAGCCAGTGCCATGAGATTTACCTGTACTGCTGCCCCCCTCCACATCTCCTGAGAGACCACATTCTGTTTACTTTGACCTCTTTTTTCCCCCTCCATACCTTTGTTCACAACCACTCAAGCTTTCTCATCATCTTTACCCTACACTGGGTAGTAGCCCTTGGGGTTCCAACTTTATGTACATCCCCTGTTAGAGCCGGATGAGACTCTATCCCCGTTCCCGTGCCCACACTGCTGTCTGACAGTGTAAGGTGACCGTGACCTCTCAGAACTGTGAGCAGAGGGTTCAGGGCTCACTTGCCTTCCTGAGTTCCTGCTCCTACTTTATTTCTGGCTGCTGCAGAGTCTCTGCTTTTCTTGCCAGACCAGTCATGCCTTTAAGAAGATATTTTTACTGTGTCATACAGCTCTTTCAGTTTTTTAATTGAGAGTACTATTCAGATCTCTAGTTTGTCAGAATTGCAATTCTTGCCTTATCCAAAGGAACACTTACTTTTCAGCTCCCGCAGTTCCCATTTGGAATTGCTCGCTTGATGTTGCCAACCTTCTTGATCTTTCAAAAGAATCTGGGAATCTCATTGGTTTAAAAATCCTTATTTTTAAATATTAGCAACAAATTTAATTTCTTAAATAGTAATGAGTCACAAACTAATGTTGAGTGAAAGAGCCAGGTAGAAAAGAATACCTAAGTATAATTCTATATTTATAAGAAGTTAAAGTAAACAGAACTAATCTGGTCTTGAGATTAGAACAGTGGTTATCTTTGCGGGTGTATTGACTGGGAAGGGGTATGAAGGAGCCTTCTGAGTGATGGTAATGTTTGCATCATGATCTGAATTGTGTTACATAGGTAGATGTAAAACTTTTTGAGCTATACACTTGGGTTTTGTGTACTTTATTGTTTGTAAATTAAATTAGTATTTTTTTAAATATGTCAGACAAAACCATAGTTTGCCGGTTTCAACTTCAGTAGATTGCTTTAATTTTATTCCTTGATTAAGCCAGAGAACTATGTATTTGCAACACAGTTCTGTCCCTTTAGAGAGTAGTTTGTACCATATAGAGTTTTGGTGTTGTGCTGTTAACCCATATGGAAGGACGTTTGGGGAAATAAGAATTTGTTTTGACTGAAGAGATCTCTTTATGATGGTAGTTGAGTGAAATTTTCCTCCAATATTTCCTGGGAATAATTTGGGAGCACCTGATTGGCTTTTCAGGTTATAACTAGTTATGTTTTCTTTCTTAGGCTACTAGGAAGCACAGAGCCAGGGCAGCTTTTTGGCTCAGGTGGTTGAGCGTCTGACTCTTGATTTTGGCTTAGGTCATAATCCCAGGGTCATGGGATTAAGCCTCATGTCAGGCTCTGCACTGAGCGTCCCATATTTGGGACTCGTCTCTAGCATGGAGTGCAAAACCTTATAGAAGATGTTTTGAATGCTAATCTTCCACAAGTTAATTAAACGATATGCATTTTGTCATCGTATAGCAAACAGAAAAACATCTTCCTGATGTGTTTTTAAGTTTGAAATTCGTATTACATGCATATTGTTGGAAAATAGTTGAATTTTGGTGCTTTTATTTAAATTTAAATTGAAAATTATTCCTGATTATAAAATTGTGATTGGGGCCAAATAGCATTGTATATGCTGCTAATTTATAAACAGAGAATAATAAAGTTGTGCCTTTATTGTAACTAGTGGTTGTGGCAGGTACTAAGTATAATGGTAGACTACTTTGCTTGGTATATAACAGATGCTGAGTAAGTGTTTTCTTCTCTTTTAGCTCCCTTGGCAATGAAGACCCACCAGGTCCCTTCAAAAATTCTTTTTAAAAAATTACTAAATAAGATCCGAAGCCAAAAATCTCTGTGGACAATTCAGTCCGTGTCTGAAGATGAAAGCGAAGTCATTACGACTGCTAATGAGACTGAGAGTAAAGCCCCAACAGTCGAATCAGGAGCAATTGCTGGCGAAGAGAGAACATTATCCTCTGGGCAGGAACAAGGTGATTCTCTCCAAGAGTCTCATTTTGTAGCACACGGACCCTTTCTGAGTTGTTCAAAAATATACTCATTCCTCAAAAATCAAAGAATAAAATTGGTCAAAAGGAAGAAAATGCTTTAAAGCCCATGATGCTGCTAGTTCAAGGCAGTAAATGTTAAAAACCTTAGTGAACCTCTTTCCAGACATGCTAATGTGGTAGTATTGTTTATATACGGTTGTCCCTTGGACAAAACAAGTTTGAACTATGTAGGTCCAGTTTACGTGGATTTTTCCATAAACACATTGGAAGATTTTTTTGGTGATTGCAACAATTTGAAAAAACTCACAGACGAACTCAATAGCCTAAAAGTACAAAAAAAATTAAAAAGGTTATTTTAAGAATATAGTATATAGCACCTGGGTGCCTTAGTCAGTTAAGTGCACGACTCTTGATTTCTGTTTAAGTCATGATCTCACGGTCTGTGGGATCAAGCCCTGTGTTGGGCTTCATGCTCACAGCACAGAACTTGCTTGGGATTCTCTCTCTCTGACCCTCCCCAGCTCATGGTCTCTCACTCTCTGAAAATAAATAAACTTAAAGAGAAGAATACAGAATGTAATATATGTAATATACAAAATATATGTTATTCAACTGACTATATTATTGGTAAGACTTTCAGCCAACAGTAGGCTATCAGTAGTTAAGTTTTAGGGGAGTCAGGGAGCGCCTGGGTGGCTCTGTTGGTTCAGTATCCAACTTCGGCTCAGTTCATGATCTCGCGGTTCGTGGGTTTGAGCCCCACATTGGCTCTGTGCTGACAGCTCAGAGCCTGGGGCCTACTTCTGATTCTGTGTCTCCCTCTCTCTCTTCTTGTCTCCTGCTCATGCTCTGTCTCTCAGAAACAAACATTTAAAAAAAAAAAAAAAAAAAAAACAGCCCAAGGTGGCATCAAAGCCTTACATAATCTGTGCGTGCACACTGCTCTCCCACCATCTGATCTCACCCTGCTTTCTCTGACTTCCTTTTCTACCACACCTCCCTCAGACCACTCACCATACGCGCTGTCTTCCTGGCTCTTCCGTGAACACAACAGTCATGACTCACATGGTCTTTGCAAATTGGTGGTCTTACTGGCTGGGATGCTCTTGGATATTTCTGTGCCTTACTCTCTCTTCCTTCAGATATTTGCTGAGACCTGGCTTTCTCAGTAAGGCCTTCTTTGTTCACTATATAAAATGGCAAGCTTCTCCCCTCCCCCGATCCCCGTACCCTTCACTCCTTATCCCCCTTACCCTGCTTTTTCTGCATAGCTCTTACCAGCATCTCCTAGACCATAAATGTATTTTCTTGGCTTGTTTGCTACTTGCCTTGACACTCTGTCTACCCTGCACATCCTCTAATCCTGGTATAACCTCTATTGAGGGTAGGAACTTTGTTTTGTTCATTGCTGTATCCCCAGGGCTTAGACCAGTGCCTTGTACATAAAAAAATACTTTGTTTTACTTGCACATAGAAAAATATTTTTTGAGGGTCGCCTGGGTGGCTCAATCGGTTGAGCATCTGACTTCAGCTCAGGTTATGATCTCATGGTTCGTGGATCTGAGCCCCGCGTTATACTCTGTTTTGACAGCTCAGAGTATTGGAGCCTGCTTCAGATTCTTTGTCTTCCTCTCTCTCTGTCCCTCTCCCACTCATGCTCTGTTTCTTTCTGTCTCAAAAATAAATGAACATTTAAAAAAAATTATTTTTTAATATTTGTTGAAATAATTGAGCAGCTTAAAGCAAGAGACGTAAGTTTAGAAGTCAGATATATATATATATGTGTGTGTGTATATATGACATTTAAAGCCATGGGCATAGAGGAACTCTTTTAGGGGAAAAAATTTAATGAGAAGAGGACTTAGAAGACCATTTGAGGGACTCCAGCATTTAGCAGATGACTAAAGAAGGCAGACAGCAGAGCAGTAAAAAGGACTGGCTAACAAAGTAGGAGAGAGTATGGTTTCGGAATTCAGTAAAAGGGAGATTCATCTTCAGTCATAACCAAGTTATTTTTTTAAAAGGCCGTGTATGAGTAGGCCTTCTCCAGCTTCACCTTGCTTCATTCTCCCCTTTGTCTGACTATACCTTACATTCATTCTTATACATCCCACGTTCTCTACCTGGCTGATTCCTCCTTACCTTTCAGATGCCTGTCTAAATGTCATTTCCGAAGACAAATCTCATCTGGGCCCGTAGCCTAATTCAGATTCTCTTATAGTACTCTATTGTATAATCCTTTGTTTCTCTTATATAGACCTACCAGTTTCTAGTCTTACAATTGTTTCTGAGTACAAAGGATAAATATGTAATGTTTCTGTCCCTCATTTGCCTGTAAAGCTTCCTGTCCACCTTTTAAAAATGTGCCACTGTGTCAGCGTGTAGCACATAAGTAGGTGCTGAATAAATGAGTGAGTGAGTGAATGAATGAATACTTAAAGCAGCATTCCTGGCACCCCTGATATGATCAGAAAAACTGATTTAACTTCCTTCTCTGCTCTGATTTCATAAATAACAAAAATTCTGATATTTAAAAATGCCAAGGAAGGCACTTGGGTGGCTCAGCTGGTTAAGCCTCTGACTCTTGATTTCGGCTCCGATCATGATCTCACAGTTCGTGGAATGGAGCCCCTTGTTGGGCTCTGTGCTGACGGCATGGAGCCTTCCGGGGATCCTCTCTCTCCCTCTCTGTCTCCTTCTTCCCTGTTTGCATTCTTTCTCAAAATAAACTTTAAATAAAAATTGAAATATCAAGGATACATTGACATTCCTTAAGTTTCTCTTTTTAAACTTTGGTACCTTGCTTATTCTGCTCTTTTATGCTTTTCTCTTGTGCTTGAAACTATCGGTACACCTTTTTAATCAATTCTTCAGTTTTTCCTTTTGGTTCACAGATTTCGCTCCCATCAGTCTTCTTATATTAGGCTCTAGTTTAATGGATAAAATATGTGGTCATCTGGAACATGACTGGATCTTAACCAAATAAGACATTTAGATGGACCAAAATTGAATTACTGATCTGAATGCAAGTTGTTTTTTTTTTTACTTTGTACAGATGCTTGAAAGTGATAATATATGTTCATAATAATGTATCTTTACAGTTGCTGAAAGTGATACTTTAACAGTTGACTCTGGACCACTTAGTAGTGAAGAGAAACCACTTTCACTGGATACAGAATATGAAAAGGAACAAGGTATTTTTATTTTCAGATTAAGCTTGCTTAACTTAACATTTTTTTCCTAATACGGTGACATATGTGATAAATGAATAAAGAGAATTACAGTGGTGTCAAAATTCTAAATTAATGAATCTAATTTTTGTTTTGGGGATTCTCCTAGAAATAAATGAGACTCAGCCCATTACAGCTGTAGCTCAGAGTTCAGTTCTACTTCATCCTCAAGAAGAAGCAGCCAGAATTAGAATGGCAGCAAGGCAGAAACAGGTAATCTGAACTTTGTATTTTTAAAGGTTTCTTTCTTTAGCTGGGAACTATAATTTTGTTTGATCAATGACATTTGTCTTACTATATGGCTGCTTTTGATACTGTTTCTTCTACCTTGTTAGAAAAGACTTCATCTTTGCTTATAAACTATTCACTTGTCCCTTACTTGCATTCTGCTTTGTATTTCATACTTTATTATTTTCCCTATAAAACTTAATCAGTTTTTTAAAGACAGAGACTGTCATTTTTATTTATTTATTTATTTAAAATATTTATTATCAAATTGGCTAATATACAGTGTGTACAGTGTGCTCTTGGTTTTAGGGGTAGATTCCCATGGTTCATCGCTTACATACAACACCCAGGGCTCATCCCAACAAGTGCCCTCCTCTGTGCCCATCACCCACTTTCCCCTCTCCCCCACCACTCTGCCATCAACCCTTAGTTTGTTCTTTAAGAGTCTCCTATGGTTTGCCTCCTTCCCTCTCTGTTTGTAACTATTTTTTGTCTTTCCCTTCCTCCATGGTTTTCTGTTAAGTTTTTCATGTTCCACAAATAAGTGAAAACATATGATATGTCTTTCTCTGATTGACTTTCACTTAGCATAATACCTTCCAGTTCCATTCACATTGCTGCAAATGGCAGGATTTCACTCTTTCTCATTGCCAAGTAATATTTCATTGTATATATAAACCACATCTTCTTTATCCATTCATCATTTGATGGACATTTAGGCTCTTTCCATAATTTGGCTGTTGTTAAAAGCGCTGCTATAAACATAGGGGTACACGTGCCCCTATGCATCAGCACTCCTGTATCCCTTGGATAAATTCTCAGTAGTGCCATTGCTGGTCATAGGGTAGTTTCTATTTTTAACTTTATTAGGAACCTCTACACCATTTTCCAGAGCACCTGCACCAGTTTGCATTCCCATCAACAGTACAAGAGGGTTCCCAATTCTCTACATCCTCGCCAGCATCTGTTGTTTCCTGAGTTGTTCATTTTAGCCACTCTGACCAGTGTGAGATGGTATCTCAGTGTGGCTTAGATTTGTATTTCCCTGATGATGAGTGATGTTGAGCATCTTTTTATGTGTCTGTTGGCCATCTGGATGTCCTCTTTGGAAAAGTGTCTATTCATGTCTTCTGCCCATTTCTTCACTGGATTATTTGTTTTATGAGTGTAGGGTTTGATAAGTTCTTTATAGATTTTGGATACTAACCCTTTATCCAATATGTCATTTGCAAATATCTTTTCCCATTCCATCTGTTGCCTTTTAGTTTTGTTGATTGTTTCCTTTGCAGTGAAGAAGCTTTTTATCTTGATGAGTTCACAATCATTCATTTTTGCTCTTGATTCCCTTGCCTTTGGAGATGTGTCGAACAAGAAATTGCTGTCGTTGAGGTCAAAGAGGTTGTTGCCTGCTTTCTCCTCTATGGTTTTGATGGTTTCCTGTCTCACATTTAGGTCTTTCATCCATTTTGAGTTTATTTTTGTGTATGGTATGAGAAAGTGGTCTGGTTTCATTCTTCTGCATGTTGCTGTCCAATTCTCCCAGCACCATTTGTTAAAGAGATTGTCTTTTTTCCATTGGATCTCTTGCCTGCTTTGTCAAAGATAAATTGGCTGAGACTATCTTTTTTAAAAATTCAATTCATTTTATATACTTTCTGGTTCAATGCCTTATACATAATAGTAAGTGCTCAATAAATATTCACTGAATAAATGAGTCCCTGTCACAATATTAGACACTTAGCTAGGCGTTATCATCTCAAAAGTTTTTCTGAAATACTCATTTTCAGAAGAAAAACTGTAAATTCAACCTCCTTAATTATAATTTTGATTCTATCTGCTCTGATAGATTTTTTTTTAATGTTTTATTTATTTCTGAGAGAGAGAGAGAGACAAACAGCATGAACAGGAAGGGTCAGAGAGAGAGGGAGACACAGAATCTGAAACAGGCTCCAGGCTCTGAGCTAGCTATCAGCACAGAGCCCAACGCAGGGCTCAAACCCACGAACCGTGAGATCATGACCTGAGCCGAAGTCAGATGCTTAACTGACTGAGCCACCCAGGTGCCCCAATAAAAGATTTTTTTTTTTTAACACAGATTACTTGAAGGTGGCTAATTGTTACTAAGCCAGTCAGTTTATAGTCGCAGTTTTTTATACAAATAGAACTGGGGAGTGAGAATTCTATGAACCAATATTTCTTCTCAAGTAAGTGTTTTCTAATCCATGTTCTAAAGCAGTATTGTTCAATAGAGCTTTCTCTGTTGTGGAAACATTCCACATCTATGTCCAGTGTGGTACCTGCTAGCTACATAGGCTGTTGTGTACTTGGCATATGACTGGTGCCACTGAGGAACTGAATTTTAAGTTTTATTTAATTTTAATTCATTTACATTTTAATAGTCATATGTAGCTAGTGTACTTGTAGAGGTGCTACTGAAATATAAAAGGTCTGAATTCAGTGGCTCCTATGAGTGAGGGAAAGTAAGGAAGGTGAAGACAAGAACTCTGCTGTAGCCACGACTGCCTGATCAGGAATAGGTAAAATACCGGACTGAGGCATTTTTTTGTTTTGAAAACCAGATCATTCTTCATTATCTAGTGGAAGTGTTTCTCTTAATCAGACTTCACATACATTCCTTGTTCTACTTATTCATTGAGTACTCATGTGCTATGTGTGTTCTAGGGACTGTACGAGATGCCCTCTTGAGCAGGCAGCCAGTCACACTAGTCCCTGTCCTCATGAAGCCCGGGGTTCCTCTGATGTGTTCTAATTACTTGGATTCGTGTGTGCATGTGTGTGTTGGTGTAATTATTAGAGTTTATGTGTCACTCCTCTACCACTGTCTTCATCTGTTTCACACCTGACAGAAAAGACACAGAGTGTTGCTCATGTATTATTTGTCCTCTAGATAATGCACCCCTTCATGGTTGGGCCTTAGAATCAAATTGTTTGTGAGGCCTTGGAATTCAATTTCTTTAGTCATTTTTCTTACTGAGAACACTAGAAAATTAAAGGTCTGGGGGTGCCTGGGTGGCTCAGTCGTTAAGCGTCCAACTTTGGCTCAGGTCATGATCTCACGGCTCGTGGGCTTGAGCCCTGCATCGGGCTCTGTGCTGATGGCTAGCTCAGAGCCTGGAGCCTGCTTCAGATCCTGTGTCTCCCTCTCTCTCTCTGCCCCTCCCCGGCTCGCTTTCTGTCTCTGTCTCTCAAAAAATAAAATTAAAAAACATTTCAAAAAAAATTTTTTAAATAAATAAGTAAAGGTGTGAGCACAGAATTTGGCCAAGCATCGTAACAGATAAAACAGTGGCAGTGACAGGTAATACATTACCACTTTCTTCTCGGACAGCTGGTACTCTTGGTGATAAGATCGATTTCCTTTCAGTGTAATTCACATCAGCTTTTCTTTTGTATGAGTTTGTCATTAATAGATCAGTAGTATTTTTGTTACTTAGATCATGGAAATTGAAGAGCAGAAGCAAAAACAGTTGGAATTACTTGAACAGATTGAACAACAGAAGTTACGATTAGAAACTGATTGCTTCAGGGCTCAACTGGAAGAAGAAAAAAGAAAAAGCACTCAGCAGACTGGGGTAGGATGCAGGGAATCTCATCCCTACGTAGATTGTTGGGGGATAAGAAAATGTGAGCAATCTTATCAGCATTCAGGAAAGTAAAATGCATTTTAAATTATATTTTGTGATTTTTTTTTCTTTTAATACTGTATGTGTGTGTGTATATAGATACAGGTATACTTATACAAACCTAATGGCTTTCATCTTTCAGTTTCTAGAGGGTGCCAGTGTATATGACCATGATTTATATGTAATGTGTACATTGAGCTCTTGGACTTGGCACTAAAGGAGAATGGTGGATTACTTCATTTCTTCATCATCGAAGTGCCAGTCTTTTTTATAAAGAATAAAGCCATGTGAAAGTTTACAATTATCAAACTTCAGTTTATATAAAATATTCTAGTACTTGTTTCTAGATTTGCCTTTTAACTAGTAGCTTTGTCTTTCATTAGGTCAGCACGGCTCCAACATCACACACTGTAAAGTCTGATGAAGATAATCACAGGCAGATGATTCGTAACTATCAACGTCAGCTTTTACAGCAAAACAGGTATTAGCTTGGGTACAGTTTCTTGTGACAGTGTGTGGCTACATCTGCAGGATTTATTATTTGGTTTATATGAAGATCTAATCGGGATTCTCTTAGAACTACAGCATACAGGTTTCTCAAAGATTAATATGAATGTTCCTTTTTCATCATGATAATGGCCAGTCCTGAATTGTTGTCAGTTAAATTTAATGTGTAGACACTTGGGAATATAGGGCATGTTTCCCATCAAGAAAGAATAATGTTCGTTTTTTGTGTTTGTTTTTGGTAGGTTTCACAGACAGTCTGTGGACATAGCCAGGAAGCAATTACTCGAATATCAGACTATGTTAAAAGGAAAGTACCCACCTGTGTTAGCCTCTTCGTTGGTATCTGATTCTGTTAAAACAGTACCACCACAGAAATCCGAAAGTCCCACTGTTATATCAGAGCATTGGGACCAAGGTCAGAGACTCAAGTTGAGTCCTAACCAATATCAACGCATACAGTCTGTACAGATCTCCAAATCGGAACAAGATTATTTTCAGGTTCCAAGACAAAGTCTCTTTCCACAAAGACAGGTGGAAACAGCAGACACATTAGTCACTTCAGATGTTTTAGCCAAGCAGTCTCTGGAATCAGAGGAACAGCCTAAACAGTTCTCACAGAGTGAAGTACAACAGAGAGACTATAAATTGGTTCATAAAGATTCTCATACACCTTCAAAGCCTTTGTCACATGATAGGCCGCTAATACTACACGATCCTAGAGAAAGAGCTGAAACATCTATGGCAGCAACGTCTCAAACTTTAGACTCCCAGCAAAGGTTCTCAGAGAACAATGAAAATATACCCTCTAAGCTAACTAGACATTCTTCATTCCAACCACTGGCAGCTGAGCGTGCTTTTAGTTCTCTGCCTATTACAGTTGAGTCTGAAAAAATCCAGGAACGCTTTTCAGTCCTAAGCAAAAGTACAGTTCCCATAAGTCGTTCTGTAATCAGCCAAATACAGGATAAGTCTTTGCCATCCTCACAGAGTATCACAGCCCAGCAAGGCAATTTGAAGGCTCTCCAAGAACAGTTAGACCTACAGAAGGAAATTCTTCAGTCAAGACAGGAAGCTCAGGAACAATTGCTTTTGCACAAACAGAAAGAATTGGAAGGACAAACTGGCCTCTCGATATCTCTTCCATTAGTATCTCTGGATTCATTTGCAACACTTCCTTCTGCCAGAGCCGAATCAGGGAGGATCCAGGAACCTTCTCCAATCAGGGAAGATACTGCAGTTTCCTCAGACCGTCTTGGGTTCCCACGACTTCAGGATAGGCTTTTGAGTTTTTCACAGCCTATCTTATCACAGCAAGATAATTTAAAACTTTTCCAAGAACAGTTCAGTATTCAGAGGGACAGCCAGCAGGCGAGGCGAGAAGCCCAGGAAGTATTACATGTACATAAACAGAGTGAATTGGATGGAAGAATATGGTCTGAACAGACTGAACCTCCTTCTCTCCCATCTCAGGTACCTCAGCATACATTTGCTTTTCTGCCTTCTGCTGGCACTCATTCTGGACAAATCCAGGAGCAGTACTCACCGGAGAGTGAGAAGGGACTTCTCCCAAGCCAGCCTGAAATCCAAAAATCTCAGGATGGGTCTTTGTGTTTCCTACAGCAGTTCCTACCTTTGCACGATAGCGTGAAATTGCCCCAAGAACAGCTGACAGCACAGAAGGACCCTGCTCAGGCGAGGCATGAAGCCCAGGCAGAGTGGCTTTTGCAGAAACCAAGGAACTTGGGAGACAGTACGTCTGGGCACAAAAGTTCTTCATTCCCACCAGTGGTTGCTCCGTGTTCAGTTGCTTCACAACCTTCTGCTAAAGCTGAGCCTAGAAGAATTTATCTGTCTGAGAAGGAGACTAGTATTCCTTCAAGTCATTTGGTAAGCCCAGCATTTCAGGACCAGCCTCACACTTTGCCACAGTATAAGCTGCCACAGCAAGAAAATTTGACAGCACTTCGGGAACAGTTACACGTGCATGGGGTGATACTTGGGGCTAAACAGGAAACTCAGGAATTTGTACGCAAACAAAGTGAATTAGAAAAAACAGTTTCTTCTGAACAGACTGGCCCCTCTGTATCCCTGTCCCAGGTAGTGGAGTTTGAAAGATTCCAGGACTTTATGTCAGTCCAGAGTGATAGTACAGCTCCTGTAAGCCAGTCTAAGATCCCGAGTGTTCAGGAAAGACTTCTGAGATTTCCACAACATACACTACCTCTACAAGATGGTTTGGAGGAACCCCAACAATGGCTAGGCCCAGGGAAGGAGGCCCTTCATTTTAGCCAGAAAACCCAAGGAACTATATCTTCTGAACAAACTGACTCTTCATTCATACCCCAGTTAGGACAGCCTTCATTCACTTCATTACCTTCTGCTGAGTCTGGTACAATCCAGGAAGCCCTTTCAACAGAGAGTGATAGTAAAATTCTTTCAAGCCATTTTCAGATCCCACAGCTGCAGGATAGGCTTTTGAGGCTATCACAACTTATCCAGCCTCAACAAGATAATTTGAAGGCTCTTGGAGAAAGGTTAGCTATGCAGAGAGAAGCCATCATTCAATCTAGACAGGAAGCTCAGGAAGAATTACTTTTGCATGAACAGGGTGAGTGGAAGGAACGAATGTCTCCCGAACAGATGGGTGCCTCTTCCTTCCTACCCCCAGTTGTACAGCACTCATTTGCCTCATTACCCCTTAGTGACTCTCGAAGAGTCCAAGAACCTTGTCCAACTAAGAGTGATAATACAGCTCCCTCAAGACATTCTGAGATGCCAAGATTGCCTGATACGTTTTTAGATTTATCACACTCTGCTTTAACCCAACAAGATCACCTGATTGCGCAAGAAAATTCCCTTCCATGCAGCAAGAAAACCCAGAAAGTATTGGTTTGGCCCAGACCATATAAGTTTGAGGAAAAGTTACCTGCTGAGCACTTTATCCAACCTCACCAGGGTGATTTGAAGGCACTTCAGCAGCAGTTAGATATGCAGAGGAGATCCATTCGATCTAGACAGGAAGTCCAAGAAGAATTACTTTTGCAAAGACTAAGTCAGTTGGAGAAAAGGGTATCATCTGAGCCGACTGGCGCTTCCTCCTTACCCCAGGTAGCACTGCCTGTTGCTGATTCTGAAAGAATCCAAAAGCCTTTTGCAACCAGATGTGACAGTACTGTTCTTGAAAGTCATCCTCAGGCCCCAACATCCCAGGAAAGACCTTTGACTTCACCACAGCCTGTTCTGCCTCAGCAAGACATTTTGACAGCACAGTTGGGCTTAGAAAGGGAAGTGGTGCTTCCTAATGAGAAAGTCTGGGAAGAACTGCTATTAAACAAACAAACAAAGTGGACTGAAAGTGAGTCTTCTGAGCCTGCACTTCCCTCTTTGTTTTTACCGCACAAAAGAGAGCCTTCATTTATTCCACTGTCTTTCGCTGAAGTTAAATCTAAAAACAGTTATGAATTGTATCCCTCTAAGAATGAAGATGCAGCTCCCTCAAGCAATCCTGTGATTCCCAGATTTCAAGATAGACTTTTGAGTTTTTTGCCACCCATCTTAACTCAGCAAGATAACCTGGAACTTCAGAAGCAGTTGGATCTACAAAAGCAAGTCCTGCATTATAGCCAAAAAGCCCAAGAAGAGTTGCTTGTACAGAGACAGACAGCACTGCAGCAGCAGATACAGAAACATCAAGAGATTTTGAAGGATTTCTTTAAATACAGTCAGGTATGAAATTAAACTTGAATACCTAGAAATTAAGTAATGGAGGTAATCCAACTCAGACAGGCTAAATATTTTTTTTCAATTTTTTTTTAATGCTTATTCATTTTTGAGAGACCGAGAGAGACAGAATGTGAGTGGGGGAGGGACAGAGAGAGAGAAACACAGAATCTGAAGCAGGCTCCAGGCTCTGAGCTATCAGCACAGAGCCCAATTTGGGGCTCGAACTCACAAGCTGTGAGATCATGACCTGAGCCGAAGTCAGAGGCTTAACTGAGTCAACCACGAGCCCTAGCTAAATATTTTTTTAATCTCAGGCCTAAATAAGTACTTCTTTCTTGAGAAAAAATGGTTTGACATTAACTGCTTTAATTTTCTACCTTAAACAATGTGGAAATTAAAACTTAAGAATTAATCTACCTTGAATGGTATTTAGGACGTTAACAGTTATTGGAAGCCCAACTGATTTTGGCCACTAGTTTGACATAGCCAAATGCAATCACCATTAAAAACGTTAGATTGTCATTTGAAGTGTTCTTATAAGGGGTTTTGAGCTCACCATAAGATTAAATTGCAAAATAGCAGAATTTCTTTTATGCACATGGCAAGTCTTGTGCTTTCTGTATAGCACTTTGTGGACATTTGTATGTGAATCAAAATTAGTACCATCTTTTCCCTTAAGTGGTTATATTACCACCCATTATAAAACTGGCATGATTTTAGGGCTGATGGACCGTTAGACCTGCTGCTTGTTACTGAATTACAGGACAGACTGCCACAATCACGCAGACATCCATGGTTTCTCTGTAGGGGAAACAGGACTGTAGTCTCCAATAGGTGTCTATTTTATTTTAAAAGGCCACTTCCTAAATCTATGATTTAGCCTGATTACCATTCCTTACATCTTTTGATGTTCAAGAGAAGTTTGAGTTGAGTTCACAAGCACTTGCGTTCTAGGGATTTACTGTTCTTTTTAAGGAAAAGTAATGGGGAAAGAACAGCAGCGAAGGGAGTACTCAAGTAGGATGTCTTATGAAAGATACAGTGGAAGCTAAATTTTTAAGTCCAATGTTATACTTTTCAATGGAAATATCACCATTTCTGTATTAGAAGCATTTCTCATTTTTTAATCTATAAAACTATAATAGTGTGAGTGATGGAATGATTTGGTTGGGGTTCTATTTAAGAAGGGCAGTACACAGAATGAATTCTTCACATGATCTCTCATCTTGTGTCATCCCCACCCTCAATTGTCCATTTTTTCAGATAAGTAAGCCCACGGTTGAAAATGATGTAGAAAGTCAGAAGCTGGGAGAGTGGCTTCCTCATCCCCAAGACACAGAAGGAGATGATCAGGAGAGCATTAGGCCTGTTACTAGGAGCACTTCGGATGACAATCCCCTGCTTTCAGAAAGTAGTGCCCAGCAAAGTGGTAAGATAATTGTATTCTATTGTAACTGCTGGTAACTCTCACCTCTGCAACTTGCTGGCTGAAGAAAAGTTTGTAGCATGTTACAGATTTGTACTATGTGTAATAACTTTGTCTCTATAACTTCATAGGCAAGCATCTGGACAAAGACCTGGGCAGGAGATCCTCAAAGCCGCCTGTTGCAAAAGTTAAATGTGGATTGGATTTGAACCAACACGAACTTAGTACCATACAAGAAGTTGAATCACCAGCAAGTGGCAGAACGTCTATATTAGGTAAACGTATGGTTTGACAAAATAAGATTTTGTTTTTAATTTTTTTTAATGTTTATTTAATCTTGAGAGAGAGAACTAGCATTAGTGGGGCAGGGGCAGAGAAAGGGAGACAGAATCTGAAGCAGGCCCCATGCTGTGAGCAGAGAGCCTGATGAGGGACTTGAACCCATGAACCATGGGATTATGACCTGACTCTAATAGTTTGCCGGTTTTCTACATTTATTTCAGGATGCTAAATTTCTGTCTCGAAGAAACAGGCTGTGAATACTCATGAAAGAAAAAAATGGTTTACATTAACAGTATTTAAAATTTGGACCTAAAGAAATGTGGCATTAGGGAACTAGTTTCTTCTTGTATATAGTGAAAACCTATTTACTATAGGTAAAAATTCTTCAGTTCTTCAATTCCTCTGCCTCTGACACTCTTGCTTCCCTCTGCTGCTTTTCGTATCTACCTTCTAACCCTGTTTCTTTCTTTTTTTTTTTTTTTAATTTATTTATTTCTAGGAGAGAGAGAGAGTGTGAGCAGAGGAGGGTCAGAGAGAGAGGGAGATACAGACTCTGAAATTGGCTCCAGGCTCTGAGCTGGCAGTCAGCACAGAGCCCGACGCGGGGCTCGAACCCAGGAACCACGAGATCATGACCTAAGCGAAAGTCGGACGCTTAACCGACTAAGCCACCCAGGCGCCCCATTAACCCTGTTTCTTTAGGAGTAACTCTGTTTTTGTTTTTGTTTTTTTCCTCTGCTGCTTTTCTACTTCACTACTTTCACTGCTCCTTTCTTCTATCTTTTAAGGATAATTATTATGGTTAAAATTCTGGCTTTGTGGACAGTCATAAGCAGGTATAGTTCTCTGTGCGTCTGCCTAGATGCAATTATCTGGAAAATTCCTCCCAGTGATCTTTAGTAAATAGCCCTATTTGCGTTTCATAATGATTTTTAGATTTCAGACTCAAGCAAATAATTGATCAAATTTTTCAGAGCAAACCCTTGTGTAGCTCTCTCCCACTGACACCCAATAACAGTCAGCATTTCTCAGTTCTTGTTCCGCTCTGGCATCGGCCTGAGCCCGCCCCAGTGCCACTTGCTTATTGCAGACCATTGAGTGGCTGCTCCAGCTTCCAGTGTCTTCTGTTTCCAGTCTGGCCTTACTCTAATTTTCCCGTGGTATATTCCGCATAGTCTGCCTCTGCATCTCCATGTTTGAAACTCTTCACTGGCTTTCCCTTCTGGTTGAGGGGTGAGTCTTAAGTAAGTCGGAGTGCCCAGCTTCGCCTGTTGGGCCCTTCGTGATCTTGCTCCTCCCTCCAGGGTGGGTTAATTGTCCTGAACCATCAAGTATCCCTCTCCTGCCTTTGGGAGCTTTTATCCTAGTCTTTATCACACTTCTTTGGGTAATACTTTTAGTCAAAATATTACAGGCAAACGGTTTAAAAAGCCAAATAGCGCTGAAAGGTTGTAACATGAAACAGCATTTTTTCCTGCCCCTACCCACCCTTCTCCCCTTAACTTTGCCAGAGGCAGCCACTTTTCAAGGCTTTTATGTGTTTTTTCTTAGATTCACCACTATCCTTGGCAATAAATTTTGGGAATAATCCAGCTAAATTACTAGCATGCTAATGTATCATGACAATATGTAAATTTTTTTTCACTGCTCAGTTAGTATGCTGTATTTCCTTTTTTGTAAAATTTCTTTTTCTTTTAATGTTTGCATGAGTGGGGGAGGGGCAGAGAGAGAGGGAGACACAGAATCCGAAGCAGGCTCCAGGCTCTGAGCTGTCAGCACAGAGCCTGATGTGGGGCTCATACTCACGAGTGGCGAGATCATGACCTGAGCTGAAGTCAGACGCTCAACTGACTGAGCCTCCCAGGCGACCCATAAAACTTCTTTTTCTATAGTAAATTGTCTTTTTTAATTTGCTTAAGTTTCTGTTGAATGTCTGTTTTCTCACACAAATACTTATATTAAATACCTCTAACATAAGGGGAGATCGCACTGTTTTCTCTGTGAAACACCCAGCTGGAAGTTGGAGGACGGCTGTCGTGCATTGTTAATAAGGGTGCTGGTGCTTTGAGAAGGGACAAAAACTGGCTCTTGGAGAAGTACCAAAGTACAGTTGTACGGAAAAAGATAAATAGTACATGTGTAGTTACTAAAATTTCATGGAAGCAGGGGCAATAAGAACAAGAAATAAGGAGCACAAAGTCTCCTTAGGCAGGTGATGATGAAAGTAACGTGGAAGGGCGCCTGGGGGGCTCGGTCAGCTAAGCATCTAACTTCAACTCAGGTCACGATCTTACAGTTCGTGAGTTCGAGCCCCATGTCGGGCTCAGTGCTGACAGCTCATAGCCTGGAACCTGCTTCGGATTCTGTGTCTCCCTTCTCTCTCTGCCCCTCCCTGCTCATGCTCGGCCTCTCTCTCTCTCTCAAAAATAAATAAACATTAAAAAAAATTTTTTTAAAGTAACGTTGAGAAACCCTGATCTCTATTGACCCTCCAGTTCTCTTCTCTATAGTTCATGTCTCTTGGTGTTACTTTCTGGAAGAGCTGCCTCACTGTTTTTTTAACTTAACAGATTTTAGACAGTCAAGTTGTACTTTCTAAAAGCTTATTTTTCCGGTTTTTTCCTTTTTCATAGCATTCCGCTGTCATGTCACTGATGCACTTAACTACCTCAAATAGTGTTTTGTTTGTTTGGGTTCCTATATTTTCTCTGTTTGTCCAAATTTTTTGTTCCTTTTTTGTTGTTTCTAATTTTTTTAGAGGCTTTTCTCTAATATCTTGCATATTTGACTGGGATGCTAATGGCTAATTAGAAATTCTGCAGGTGGCGGCTTTGTTTCCTGCTGGACTTATTAGAGAAGGTGATTTCTCACCAGGCACCCTCAGTGTAGTATCTGTAGTTCTTTCCTTGAGGCAGTTTAGAGTTTAGTTTCTTGAAGATCTGCCAAGCTTGGTACAAGTCTGGCTGTTGCTGTTATGGAGCCAGACCCGGGGGTGGTGGGGGAGGTCCTGCACTGAGGATGCAGACTTTCCTACCCCCGATTTTCTTTTGGCATTCTCATGTCCTCCTCCCTTGTTTCCTTTCAGTGCCAAACCCCCAGAGTTCAGAGTGTACTGGATTCAGTTTCTCCAGAGAATAAATCTTTAGTCTCCTCTGGGGATGAATATTGACAGACAGGGATCTTAGGAGAAGGGATGGATCTGTTCCACGTACATATTTTTAAACATCATCCCTGTCTTTAGTTCCCTGGGGCACACTTTCCTTATGTAATATTTGGTGCTTTTAATTGCCAGGGTTTTCTAAGGTTGTACACAGTAGATTAGCTTCTACTTTTGGGTATCTCTCATGCCTCTATGTCCTTACTTGTTCATTATTATTTTTGTATCAAAGTATACTATTCAGGGAAGTGCACAAATCATGAGGGCTTATTTCAGTGATTATCGGTATAATAGCCATCCCCATGTAGCCACCACTCACGTCAAGAACTAGAACGTTAGAGAATTCCATGAACCATCGTCTCATGTCCTCCCAGCTAGGGTCCTTCAATTCTCTCCAAGGCAAGCCTCTGTCTTGATGTCTTATAGTAGCCATGGTTACTTTAACTTTATGGTATGAATGCATATTATACCTTAGAATACTATCAGTGGTTAGTGTACTTCCCAGGAACTTTATCCTGTGATTTGTCAATACTGAAGTATTATCTGGTATCGGAATTAGGAGTATCCTTAAAAAGTTAGGGAAATGGAAGTGAAGTAATTTTTTTTTTTTTTTAATTTTATTCTTGAGAGAGAGAGAGAGAGAGACAGAGTGTGAGTGAGGAGGGGCAGAAAGAGAGGGAAATAGAATCGGAAGTAGGCTCCAGGCTCTCAGCTGTCAGCGCAGAGCCCGACGCAAAGCTTGAACTCACCGACTGTGAGATCATGACCTGAGCCAAAGTCGGATGCCTAACCCTAACCGACTGAGCCACCCAGGTGCCCCAGAAGTGAAGTAATTTAAAGGCCTGTGTGAAAAATTTAAGCATTTATCATTTCCTTGCCACATAGATCAAGTCTGTAAAATTTCAGATTTTCACCTGTAATCTATATTGCCATTTTTGTTTGTTTTTGTGTGTGTGTGTGTGTGTCTATTTTTAATTTTTTTTAAAGTTTATTTATTTTGAAAGAGAGATGGTGCAGGAGGGAAAAGAGAGAGGGAGACAGAGAATCCCAAGCAGGCTGCATGCTGACAGCACAGAGCCTAACACAGGGCTTGAGCTCATGAACCACGAGATCATGACCCGAGCCAAAACCAAGAGTCAGGTGCTTAACCAAGTGAGCCATCCACGTGCCCCTAAATTGCCATTTTTGTTTTAACTAACTTTGGTAATGTAAGTGGAAATCTAATGAGCCCATCTTTTTTTTCCTTGCAGGTAAACAAGATTCTTATCAAGAAAGGGACCCCCTGAGGGTCTCAATAAGCCGAGAACAAAGTTTCTTTGGCAGTCCACTGGACCGTGATGCATTCGGTTGCCTTTACCCAGTTGCCCAGGAGAATGTCTGTGGTATTAACTCCAATGAAGCAGGTGAGGGATCAGTGGAATTCCTATGCACAAAGATATGTGGACTAAAGACGTTTATTGTAGTGTCATTTATAATGAGAAGTAAATAATTCTAATGACTGTTAGTAATAGAATCATTATGGTGCATCCATAATGTGTAGTTCTGTGTACTTGTTAAATAAAGGGGGTAAAACCTATCTTCATGCATGAAAATTGTCTGGAATTACCATCACCAAAGGTTTACACATTTCATTGGAGGCTGGCTTCACTTTTTATTTTATGTCTTTTCAGCAGGTATGTTTTCTAACCAGATTTCTGTTTATTTTAGCTGTCCCTGTAGTTAATTGAATGAGATGAGAGAGAGCCATTTTCTTTTTGAGGGTTTATAGAGACTTTTACATCTCTTTTTTATTGGAGATTGAAATACCTGAAAAGGATATAATTTCCAGCGAATTCGAGTCTTTGACATTTTAAAATGAAATTGTTACCATTCTTCTAGGTTTAGCTAATGGATACTTATAGTTCCTTTTATTCTACCTGTCGGTGTCCTCCAGCCAAAGAGAACCAAGAACACAGCTGTAGTTGAACAAAATGGAGTTTTCTGGCTTGTTGCAATGAGTAGAATGCCCAGCACAGAAGGCTGGGAGGTGTTTCAGGACGGGTATTAGAAAGGACTTGCTCTAAGATTTGGGCCTGTAATTGGTCATTTGGGGGAGGCCTTGCTTATGAGTATTGGATGTTATCAGGAAGCAGGGGCAATTCCATCATTGGGTACAGTAAAAACTTACCCAGGAGGTAGGAATAATGGAGCGAGGCTCATGAAAACTACACCTGGTAAAGAAGCAGCAGTTACTCATATAAAAAAAAGGCAAGAAAGAAAACACCAAAGTGTAGTAGTATTTGCTTATCAATGGTAGGAAAAGGAAGAATTGTATTTCTTTATAACTTTCGGTGCTTTCTGAAATCATAAAGAGCACCTATTGCCTTTGGGAGAGAGAGAGAGAGTGCGCAGGAGGGGCAGAGAGAAAGGGGGAGACAGAGAATCCCGAGCAGGATCCGCAGTGTCAACGTAGAGCCCTACACAGGTGTTCTAACCCACAAACTGTGACATTGTGACCTGAGCTGAAATCAGGAGTCAAAGTTATGACTCTTAAGCCAAAACGCTTAACCAACTGAGCCACCCAGACAGCTCTCTAAATTATCATTCTTTAAATTTTTTTTAATGTTTTGTATTTATTTCTGAGAGAGCAGGTGAGGGTCAGAGAGAGAGGGAGACACAGAATCTGAAGCAGGCTGCAGGCTCCGAGCTAGCTGTCAGCACAGAGCCTAAGGCAGGGCTTGAAACCACGAACTGTGAGATTATGACCTGAGCCAAAATCGGATGCTTAACCAACTGAGCCACCCAGGCACCCCTAAATTATCATTCTTAATTATATCTGACGGTTAAATATATATAAAAATTACAGTTTTGGCCTCAATAATTCAGGCCATGGTAAAGAGATGCTTGGCCATTTTTGTGATTTGGATAATACTCATGGTTTTGTTTATGTTTAGACATGCCTACCAGGGGCCTCATTTTTGTCTTGATCCATCACAGTCACAGAGTGGCCTTTTCTAGTGGTTAGTAATCTGTGAAATTGTTCATGTTTAACAGGAGAGCACCAAGGCCTCACTGATAGTGCTGAGCCAGCTCCTGGCTCACAGGGACTGCTTTTCTCTTATAATCCTCCCCAGCTTCTTGTTGTTTCTGTCTTAGAAAAGAAGGTCCCAGCTTTCTACTTCTTCTCTGTTCCCTCCCTTCCTCTTTATCCAGGTCTTCCTCATCTCACCTTAATTTCTTAATAGCTTTTTAAGGATGTCACTAACTTCAAGCCCTGTACCCTTTGCTTCTGAAGGAAAGCAGGAATTTCTTGGGTAGCCTGGGAAGGTTACTCTGCTTGAGGCATCACTTTTATGTTGCTACTTCCCTTTTTTAGTAATCTCATCATGGGCCTTGGTCTTTCAGTGACAAACAGTGACACTTGTTTCTCTGCCAGCTACCTTCAGGGATCTGTCCATTGAATTCAGCATCTTTAATTACTCTGACCTTGTTCCCTTCTCATTTTTATTTTTCACCTCTGACCAGTACCCAAATCCTCCCTCTGGAGAATCTTCTTGGTATCAGTGTAACGAGTTGATTATGAACTTAAAAACTGCAGATTAATTTCCTATCTCCCAACTAGCTTTTGAAATGAGCTGCCTAAGAAAAAATAACAAATTACTGTGCAATTCACCATATCTTAGTTTCTTTACTGAAAATTGTAGTGTGTATTGAAGAAACCAAGTTAAAACAGTTAGGTCACAATAATATTTTTTTTAATGAACTAGAAGAGAAGTTAAGTTTAAAAACAAATTGTACTTACTATAATTTTTGGTATTAGCTTTATTTCTGGTTCATTATCCATAACAGAGATATTATGAATATAGAGGTAACTGCATGTTTGTCCTGGGTTATCTTATATTATTTATATATACAGTTTTAATTTTATTCTGTTTCAGAGCCACAGATGACTGACTATACACTTTGGCCAGTTTTCTCATGAATTTTGGCTCTCAGTGTAAGAGAAAAATTAACTCAGCATATCTGAATTATTAAGTGAGGCAAAATATTTTTTATATGTATTTTAATACACCAAATAAAATTAAGAATAATTCATAATAAAAGCAGTATGTGCTCATTGTGATTTTAGAACACACCAAAAGTTAAAATAAAATTCCTCCTTTTCCTGCCACTTGTTGCACTTCGATGTCTTTAGATTTTTTTACATGCATTTTTCTCAACTTTGAGATCATCTTGTTATGACAGACTATTCTTGCTTCACTTAAAGTAATAACAAAAGTATTTTCCATCATACTGGCAATTTTCTATTTTTCACAGAGTAATAACACATACAGTTTGTTACTATAAAAGATGACTAGGAAATGTTTTTGGTGAATAATAAAATGAATGCTTTTCTGTTTCTTTTTGGTCGAAGATAAGGCAATCTTACAGAGCAAAATATGAAATAAAATTGTCAAAACACAGAAATAATGTCCTTGAGTGCTAAGAATGTGATTTGTAATCATCTAAATTCTCTTCCCTCTCATCCATTTCAGCTAAGATCAAGGAGGCTGTGGCTGAGAATCATGCAGTATTAAGTTATGCTGTGGAGGAAGAAAATACATATCTGAGTCCACCTGTGAAGCCAGAAAATGTTAGTAGTGTCTTAATGTATACCCCATTGTTAGACCTGTTAGGTTTCATATTGTCTTAGTTTATAGAAGTTGTCAAATGTTAGTCTGTGTTCTCTGAGATCTGCTCTTCCTGAAGTGGATCAATGATGAAAATAGCCAAATCTGAGCATCAGAAGACCTTCCAGTCTACCTGATGCATGATCTCTGTAGTTCTGAGAAGCAAAAATAATTTAACACAGTAAGGGCTTATGTCTGGGGTGTGTGGTGGGGGGTGGTGTGCATGTGAAGGTGATAGTATATAACTGAGGACTTGATGTGTGAGATAGGTAGGGATGGGGTGGAGGAGATGTGTGTGTGTGGATGTGTATGAAAGTATAATGAGTTCTGAGCAATGATGAAGAGATTTTACTACTGACCTTTACAACTATGAAGGTTTCTACACTTGATCTGAGCTCAGAATTGATAATTGCTAATGTTGCTGATTTGGTTTTTTTCTATTACTTCCTACATTGTAGTCTGATGTTCCTCTTAATTTTTAGGCTGAAACAGAAGAGATTTATCATGAGCCATTGTCGTCCATAACTATTTCTACTGGGAGCTTTTTAAGTTCTGAAAACACAGATTTGAGCCTTACAGATGCAGGTAATAATATCAGAAAGTTTGTAAATAAATTGAAGGACCAGCATCAGTGGAGTTCGGTACAGTGGTGAGAGCAGACATTGAGGGATCGTCCCAGTGTGCTGAGAGGGAATGTTTCTGTAAATCTCAGGAGTAAACTATTCATGCCTGACAGAATATCAGACAGTCCAGTACTCTAAGCATGACTGGAAGTCAAATGCCTGCAGACCCACAGGGATGCTCTGTGGATCTCCAACATTTTGAGAATTATCTGCTCTGGTCACATTTTCCCATTCAGTGGGAATCCAAACAGATTTCTTCATCACCCTGCTCCCTTATCAGTGTATATTGTGCCTACCAAAATGTGTCTCTCAGGAAGTGCCCAGCCATAAATATTTTCACAAAACTCCATTTCCAGGGTCATTTTCAGAGCGTGCGGACCACAGGGAACAAGAACCTACCACTGGTAAAGAAAAGGAAACAAATGTCTTAAGTTCTGGAGTTCCTGCATCACAAGTCCCTTATCAGAAGCAGGACTCTGGGGAAGTTCATAAACCTGTGTTGCCTGCAGTGGAAAAGTTCACATCTGGTCAGACACAGCTTCAGCAGATGATAGACAAACACATAAATGAAGCAAATTTGATGACTGAGAAAACAGACTTGCGGGGTAAAATGATTTTGAATAATACTTCTATATAACCTTTCATCCTTTCAGTTTGAAGGAGTGATTGTTTGAGCTTCATGTTTTTGTTTTTTAATGTTTGTTCATTTTTTGAGAGGAGACCGAGCGGGGAAGGGGCAGAGAGAGAGGAGGAGACACAGAATCCGAAGCAGGCTCCAGGCTCTGTGCTGTCAGCATAGAGCCCGACGCAGGGCTCAAACTCATGAACCATGAGATCATGGCCTGAGCCAAAGTGAGACGTTTAGCCAACTGAGCCACCCAGGTGCCCAGAGCTTCATGTTTTTATGGACTGCTGCAGCAATTATGACATGGACGTGGAAAATGGCATTTAGTGTTCTTCAGACTGAAGAACATGTAGAAGAGATCAAAAAATTTTCTTACTATTGCAAAGTTAGCTCTAACAGCTGAGGCACTATTGCCAGTATTGAGAAAGGAGTTCACAGATGAGACTGTTGAATCCTAGTGTGATCACTTATTAGCTGTGAGACCATGGGCAAGCTGCTTATTACTCTTTCATCTTCTGTAAAAGAGGGATGTTGGGGATTAAACAAAATAATACACATGTAGTACAATGCCTGGCCCATAGTAGCGCCCAGTACAGTGAACAAGACTTTTTTTTCTTTTTTAATGTTTATTTTTGAGAGAGGGGGTGCCAGGGGAGGGGCAGAGAGAGGGGGACAGAGGATCCAAAGTGAGCTCTTTGCTGACAGCAGATAGCCCAATGCAGGGCTCGAACTCACGAACTGAGATCGTGACCTGAGCCAAAGTTGGATGCTTAACTGACCAAGCCACCAGGCATGGTTTCTTTTTTAAAATCATTGATCCTAAAATGAACTAAGTGAGAATAACAAAGCTTATAGCAAAACAGTGATCATAACGGCTTCTTACTCCTAATTAAGTTCTTACTTTGGAGCTAGTAAAAGTGGAACCTTTGTCAAAGGTTTTGGTCATTGAGAATATCTGGTATGTTGGACATAATGATAGGACTTAATTTGAAAGTATCTGCTGGAATGAAAACAAATGGAAATAATTTTGTTGAATTGGGAGCTACATAAAACTAAATTATATCTTTGTTTCTGAAAATTCTAACAGTTGACCTTGACTTTCTGGAATTAGAACACACTTTTCCAAATTTGCATCATCAGCTATTTAAGCCCTTAGAACCACATCCAGATTTTGATATGTTATCATCATACTCTGGGATTTCTCAAGACAGCGGAGACTTTTACCAGGTAATGTAGATGCTTCATTGCTGTGAATTTCCAAAAATAGTTTTATCTTTTTTACTGTTAGAACAGAATAATGGTTCTTAGCCTTGGATGCTGACTGGAATCCTGTGGAGTCTTTGAAAATCCCAGTACTCAGGCCCTTCCTAGAACAGTTAAATCAGAATCTCCAGGAGTGCTTTAGATTATCAGGAATTTTTTTAGGCTCCCCAAAGTGATTCTAATGTGGAACCAATATTGAAAATCAGCTGCACTAGAATTTTGTCCTGTGAGCCTAATCTCCTGCTAAGGCTTACAATCTGTAAAATAGTCAAAAACGTTTTTATTATTTATTATTAATATTTTTAAGTTATACTTTGAGAGAAAGAGCAGGGAAGGGCAGAGAGAGAGAGAGAGAGAGAGAGAATCCCAAACAGGCTCCTCACTGTCAGCGCAAAGCTCGACGCGGGGCTCGATCTCATGGTTCATGAGATCCTGACCTGAGCCAAAATCAAGAGTCAGATGCTTAACCGACTGAGCCACCCAGGCATCACTGTAATTTATTTTTTTACTGATTTTGCAAAATGTAAAGCCTTTTCCTACATAGTATAGCAGCTGAGATTCAATTCAGAACTTTTGCTCCCATACCGACCTCCCAGACTGTCCTTACATAATAGTTCCTGCTTTTAGAAAACAGTCTCATCATACTCTAAACACTGTCTGGTTAATTTGCAATTTGTTTTCTAAATAATCTTTTTAAATTTTTGTTAATGTTTTTATTTATTTGTGTGAGAGAGAGAGGCAGCGTGAGCAGGGGAGGGGCAGAGAGAGGGAGACACAGAATCTGAAGCAGGCTCCACGCTCTGAGCTGTCAGCACAGAGCCCAACGCAGGGCTGGAGCCCATGAACCGTGAGATCATGACCTGAGCCGAAGTCAGACGCTTAACTGAGCCACCCAGGCGCCCCCTAAATAATCTTTTTTTAGAAAGCCTCTTTCATGTTCATTGAAATGGAAGAATTGGTTTTAAATAGGTAAACTGCGAGTGCAAAAGAGAAGTGGTAGGTAATTAAGGCAGAGTAGTATCGTAGGAACAGGAGCACGGATTCAGCTGGTGATACCTACTCAGGATTATGGCCTTTCTCTGTTGCTTTCCGTCAGAACTCGGAGTCTTCATGTGAAAGCCACCGTACTGCCGCTTCATCCAAAAGTACAGTCGCCTTTACAGCACTGAGAGACCGCGTGAAGCCTTCCAACGCAAGCCCAAACCAGCAACGTGACGCGCACACGGCTCATGCTGCAGCCCAGGCTTCTGCTACAGAAGGTATGACTGAGGGTGCGTATGATCAAGTTAGAAAAAGTCAGAGAAACCCAATTACTTTTTCATGGTTTACATCCATTTTCTTTGGCAATTGGGCCTGGCACTTCTTGGTGTCTCCGTGCCTGTGCTCACTTGTGTCCCGAATGGTACAACTTCTGTTTCTCTGTGTATCCGTTGAAGTAACAGGAGTAACAATGCTCAGTTTGCATTTTTATAGTACTGAATCTGATAAAAACAAAAGCTCCACCTCTTGTTCGACTTCTTACCTCAGCCCTTATAGTTAACATTTTAAGTGTCCTGCAACTTTTTATACAGGCTGGGGAAGTCTCTCTTAATTTCAGATCAGGTCATGACCTCACAGTCATGAGATAAGAGCCCTCCGTGGAGCCTGCCTAAAATTGTCCCCCCACCTCTCTGTCTCTTCTTCCCTCTTTCCCTTTGCCCCCTCCCCTGCTCACGCTCTTGCTCTTTCAAAAAAAATTCTTGTACAGATTTTATATATACACACCTTTTTACATATGAGATACACATGCACATTTTAGTGTATTATTAAAATCAGTATTTTTTCTTTTGAGGGAAAAGTCCTAAGCATATCTAATAGCTTATTTTCTTTATTAGACTAGGAGAAAATACATGGTTTAAGCAGTGGAGTTATTTGAAAATCACTGTGACAATCCTTTAGTTTTCTATTCATGTATACATACATCAGCTTTAACTCCCAAGTTGTAGGAAGTAAGCGGAGTTCATTTACTCAAACTGTTAAAGAGATTTTATCTGTATCCAGGATTTACAACACGTAATTATGTTAACTTATTTCTTCCAGGCTCTGAACAGTGTTTTCAACAGCTTCTGCCAGAATTTTCTTCACAGGACGGGGGCCAGCATGTTGATCTACCGAGTATCTTTAGCATTGAGGCAAGAGATTCTTTCCAAAGCATGGAAAATCAGAACTACTCTGAACAGACTGAATTACAAAACAGGAAAAAAAGTGTTCATTTCCAGCTCTCTGTAGGAAATTTACAAAATGCAGTGTTCGGTTCATCTGATGAGGCTGATGTATTTCATCACTTGTATCTACAGCATAGCACTCCCTGTGGTTCTAGCTCTAGTGAGTGCTCAGTAAAAGCCCAACTAGAAGGCAGAAAAGACAGACCTGGTTCTGAAGAATTAGCTGAAAGAGGGGTTGATACAGCGTTACAAAGTCAAGGACTCCATGGAGACAAACAGGAAAGTTGGGGGGTTTTAAGTGTAAATTCACATGTAGAAGAAACTGATTCTCAATTGTGTCTGAGAACAGTGGAGATGGGAGCTTCAGTTCAAGCACCGTATTCTGTTCAGAATGAAAAATACTTTGAGAATTCAACTAAAGTAGAAACTCCAGAAATCCTAAGAAATCTGTCTCAACTAGCACCGTCAGAGCTCTTAAATTCTGGATCATTACAGAGCTCTATTCCAGTTTGGGTAAGTGAAATCTGTGTTGTATGGAAACAAATCCATTTCCTGGGAAGACTTCAGACAAAATTCAGAAGCAACAAAGCTTCTTAACATTCATGGGATAGTCAATCATGTAATCATTGGAAATCTCCAGTGAAATGAGCAAACTCCCAATTTTAAGCTGACCTTTTATGTTTTATTTTTTTGAAGTTTGCGAGGGAGAGCGCACACAGGGCAAGGGCAGAGGCAGGCAGAGAGCATCCCAAGCAGGTTCTGCACTCATATGTTAAACTGACCTTTACATATTACAACTGGTCCGCTCCCAGTTGATATCCCCCTCTCATTTCCCTGAGGAATAGCTTGGCCTGTGCTTCAGCCCTTTCAGCGCTGAATCTCTTTGCGCTGCATTGGATTAATCTGCTTGGTTTCAACTCCAGATAAACAGATACAGATAAACCCACAATACAAATTGAGAGCAAGAGTGCTGCTTTTGGGGTGTTCTTTTACAGATTCTTACTTAGTAGCTGAAGAAACTTCTCTCTAAATAATCTGACAGCAGCCCACTAGCTACTGCTCCTTTACATAGGTTACACCCTCCGGTTCTGCCAGCTGCCAGTCAACCCGCAGTACCTGCACAGCCCTATAGTCAATACTTGGGCTTCTAATTCTTGCTGTAGCTATTTTCAGACATTTCGCCCGTCCTCCAAATCTTTAGGATTCCTAAAAGCGAGCTGGGGATGAGGGAGACACCACTTTGGCCTTCATTGGCCATTGCTGTCCTTTCTCAGTAATGTGCAGTTTTTGCATTTTTAGTATTTGAAAACTGTTACTTCAGATATGGTTTACTTTTCAATTTTACTACACAGGAGACGGAGTCTGGACATGGTATAATGGAAGAACCAGAGCTTACTTTAGTAAGCACCAGTGATATCAGTATTGCTGAAACGGAGTTTGCAAGTTTAACCCTAGAAGAAAGAGAAAATGAGGCAAAAAGCACTTTTCAGGTAAATGTCATAGCTCCCTTTAATATGAATACACCTGATTTATACAGCAGCACACAGCTGAGAATAAGGAATTATTTACATAAGGAAATCAGACCTAAAGGACTTAATCCAAATCTGTTTTGTGCTTAACAGTCCTGAAGAAAAAAATGAGAATGTATTCTAAATTATAAACTTGAGCACAATAGATTTTTAGTCCTGTGAGCTGCAGGGTTCCTTCTACTTTCCTCCACTGCAAGCAAACCATTCCTATGGGACTCACTTCAGTTCTTACAAGACAGTCATTAGAGGAAATTCTGCTGTAAATTCAGTTCTTATTTAGGTTATAATAGATGGATTCATTGATCACAACAAAACTGCAGCTGAAAATAGGAAAATCCCAGCTGCCACCCATCAACTGTTTGATTCAATACATCTTTAAAAAATGGCTCTGCACCAAGTATTTGTTTCCTGGATTACGGAGAAGGGTAATGGGGAAGCAGTAGGTAAGCAATGCAGATGCAGAACTTGAATCAGTTAAGGAAAAGCTTTTGGGTAGGCTGGGCAAAAGCCATTCATTAAAAAAAGCCACTAGAGACTTTCTCTTCCCAGAAAACTCAGCCCTACAGTTTAGATGGGAGAAACCCACAAAGCAGTTAAAGTAGTGGAACAGGAGCTAAGTTCATTGGACATATTCCTATACTCTGTTGCACATCTGCATCTACCGAAGGAAACTAGGGGTTTAGAAAGTGGTAAGAATGAAGTGAAAAATGGAGATTTATCTATGATTTACTTACAATTAGGTGAATGAATGTCTGCCTCTTATGTCAGAAAAAGAAACCTCAAATTTCCCAGCTGTGTCAGAACACTGTGTGAAGGAGGCAGTGACAGTTTCAACAGGTATGCCTTGAAGAATCTAAAATGGTTCCCTACTCAACCTCTCAGCCTTCACATCCCCCTACAATCTTGTATACTGCCAGCACAAAAATGAAATAAGGTTCAATTTTTAAACAGAAACCCCGCCGAAGTTAACAGCTGTACCTGGGAGCTTACAAGAAGCATTTATGAAGAAGAAAAAGTCATTTATGGAGAGAACTTCCCAGAGACAGAAAGAAATAAAGAATAAAAGTTACCGTTCTGAGAAGTCTCAAACCAAAATAGTTAAGGAGAAGCCTATAGGTAGGTTCCCCATATCTGCATCAATTATCACAAAGAATATATATAGCATGAGAGAATTTGCCAGATCACTTGTTCTCTTGGTCAGGCTCATCTAGGAGTCGCCTGAAGGGTGTGAATAAGGTTAGAGCGTCACTTCCTGAAGACAGAAAGACTGCACAAGCCCTCATGCATCAAAGGGCTCTAAGGTATGTGTGTGGGTGGGTGTCTATGCATATTCCTGAAGTGCTTGTCCTTAATTCTATACACTTTTCTTACAGATTGTACAATCAGTTAGCTGAAGTGAAACAGCAAAGGGAAGAGAAAGCAAAGCAAGAAGCATATGCCCAAAACCGGGCAAGAGCAAAAGAATTTCATAAGGTGATTGAGTCCCCCCCCCCGCCCAATTTTTTCATCTCTAGGATATACTACAACTGTTAATTATTTTTATTCCCTTCACAGAAAACACTAGAGAAACTTCGAGCCAAAAATACATGCTGACTTTCTACGAGAAGTGTTAAATTTTTTTAAATTATGTGTGATGTAACATAGACAAAGTTATTAAAATCAATAAATTTTTATTTAAGAATTTTAACATGTGATTCCTTCCACAATCACCATGGTTCCTCCGAGTCAGAATCACAATCTTCAGAATAGCAGCCCTGAGAACAAGAATATATACTAGTTAGATTGAGAAGATATTTCTTCTTTCCCACATGGACAATCAGCTACATCTTGTATCTCCTCAGGAAAACATAGCAACACTGAGTAACTACTATATCCTATGGAGAACTTTAATATCTGGTCACAGCGTTAAGGGCTCTTGGTTTTAGCCCCACAAGCCCTCTTTGAAATGACCTATGAAGTTTTCAAATGTGTACATACCTTTTAAAAAGAGCTTTTGTTCAATCCACAGTTGTCTCCATCAGTCCTATAGAAAAGGAATAGAAAAGTAAGGTTCCACTTCCAGATACGATCCTGTGAAGCCAGTCTCCCTGTTAGATCTACTGTAATATTACAAGTTGCCCAATCACTAGCAGAGCTCCAGGCACGCACCATTCAAAATACTACGTACAGTCAGATGAGAATCTGAAATATGGCTGTTATAAATGTTCCCAATAGGCTGAACGCTAGCAAAGTAGCATAAAGAAAGAAAAGCCTAGTGGAAAAATTTTTTATGGTCATGTCCACAGCAAATGAGAAACCAGCATTCTCAAAGCCTTGGTAATGACCATTATATCATTAAAAATAATTAACTTGCCAGAGTTCTTTCCATTGGGCTTCTTTAATCTCCACTTCAATATGGACATACTTCATGAATTCCCCACCTATGGATGATTTTAAAGTTTAGACTAAATTTTTCAAAATAAGGTTATAATTAGGTTCCAAGCATTCTGAACTAATATGTATTGAAAATTCTAGGCTTAAAATTGCAGAGTTGGAATAACTAAATTTTTCAACCCAGTCCATTTTTTTCTTGGGGTGGGGAGGGAGACACAATCTGAAGCAGGCTTCAAGCTGAGCTATCAGCAGTGCCCAATGTGAGGCTCAAACTCACAAACCACAAGATCATGACTTGAGCCAAAGTTGGACAATCAACTGAGCCACCCAGGTGTGCCCTTTTATTTTTTAAATGTATTTATCGAGGAGAAAGAACATGCCAGTAGGGGAGGGGCATGAAAGAAGAGGGATAGAGGATCACAGCCAGGCTCAGTGTTATCAGCCTAGAGCTGGAGCTCAAATCCACCAACCCATGAGGTCATGTGCTAAAGTCACTTAACTGATGGAGCCACCCAGGCATGCTCCCCCACCTCCGATTTCATTTAGATGGATGTTCAGAAAGGCTACTTTCATTCAGCCCATTCAGAGCAGTTGAACATTTTGCCCATCATCATAACATCAGAAATCACTGGCAAACTGCATAAACACATGTTGTGGCCTTTTACTATCTAGGGTTTTTACTTTTTAATTATGATACAATAAACCATTAGGATTAGCTGTTGTCAAAATTAGGTAAACAAATGCATTAATGAGGTTTTATAAAAGGAAAAGCTTTCATCTTCTATAGGGTCAGGTACTTGAGGGGAAATCTTACCTGTAATCTCGGAGATCTGTTTTTGTTTTTTAACTTTAGGGCCCTAGAAATCAAATTTCAAGAATTACACTGATTGCTATTTTGGCAAATGATCTATAAAATTATTATCCCTTAATTGCTTTTAATGTGAAAAGTCTTGTTCCTTCCACTCTACTCCATAAGCCTAGCACAAAATGTTACAGGTCTCATTGTCACCACTGCAATAAATGTGCTGTGATGCAAGCATTACCTGTGTCTCCATGTAGCCACATTAACAATTCCTGGACACCATAAATGACAGTGCCCATTTCCATCTTAACAATGAATGAGGCTTTTATAAAGTTCCTCTCAAGCTTATGTATAAACTACAAGGTTTGATTCTGTATAGAAGTCTTGCTGTTTTGCTAAGAATATGTTAGTAATAAAAGAAAGCATCCACTAGAAGCAACAGAAATAGAAGCCTTACGTGTTTAGGATCAGAGTAGATGGATCTATCTGGTTCTTAATTTCAAACACCCTAGAAAAAGAGAAGCATTAGTTCCTATCAAAGATTATCTCAAATTCAATTTGAAAATCTATAGGAATAATGTTTCAATAAAAATACCAGGTTTAACATGCACAAAGCCAAGAAAACCAACGATGCCAGATACTGAATTGATATTGCACTGTCCTTTGAACACCCAGCAGGAACAGCTGCTGAGTGCAGATACCATGCAGTGCAATCCTGACTGAATTGTAAACCCCTGTACTTCAAGGTTGCAATACTACTGAGAAACTTATCTCCAGAAATTTAAGTTCTTTTAATATCTAATTTGACTTTTATTCCTATCATTCCAATGAGGCAACCACATTAACTGCATCTGAAATTACAAACCAAGTCCCTATTATCTTTATCCTGGCTGTAATATACATGCATAAATATTAAGTCAAATACTAAAAGGATTCATTAGATATCAAGACCATGGCTGTTCAGATGCTGTTAGGCAGAATAGAAATTCAAATCCATATTATAACACAAATACACAGGTTATTAGGATGAACAATAGCAATTGTTTCCTAAGGATAAATGGGGGAGGGGCATTTTCATGTTATTTCCTAGACAGGCAGTCTGTGTCCAATTTGGTGTATGAATATTATGGCAAATACCTTTGCTAAGATCTTGGATACATACAAGTGGAGGAGAGGGGAAGAGGGAGAGAGAAGAAAATCTCAAGCAGGCTCCACAGTCAGCAGAGTCTGAAACACAGCTCAATCCAATGACCCTGGGATCATGACCTGAGCCAGACAGAATTGGACTGCTTGGACTGCTCAACCAACTGAGCCACCCAGGCGCCCCAAGATCTTAATACTTCTGTGGTGTACCCCAAATAACTACGAGGCACAACACTAATGGGATGCTGTACTCACAACTCACATTTTTTTCAGTACTTTTGAATTTTTAATACATTTCAACAGAAATTAAATGTTCCACCTACCTCTAAATGTGAATGATTTCAAATCATGTTCACCCCTACAGATAAAATACCAAGTAAAAGATTAAGGACAAGTGTGTAATTAAAATACAAAACAGATGCTTAGTATCCAAAATGACATCTATGTATTTTTTTTTTAGCTATCATCAGCTCCGTCAGAATTAGGTTTTAGTTCATGTCTGTATCATTCAGCAGTTGAACAGTTAAATTCATCATCTGAACTGTAATGGTGCCCAAGATTTCACTGTCCCCAGTAAAAACTTACCTAAACTAGCACACCCTAGAACTGTACAGATTCTTGGGATACTCCAATACCTAAGATTTAAAAAATTTGACCATTAGGTCTTCCAGTGTTTTAGCAGATAGATGTCTTGTAGTTCTTTCCCACAGATCTAACAAATAGTTCTGTGAATAAAGGAAACCACACTTATACTCTATGAGGCGTTTCCAACGATGTAGGTCTACAGAAAAAGCCCCATCGGGATAGACCTCAACCACTATTTACTTTTAAAACAGAAGATTCCACAAGAAAACAATTACAACTGCAACCTACTCTAAAACTTCAAGTTCAAAACTGCAAAAAGCCAAACATCCTCCCAGTTACAACAAACTTAAATCATTCCATAAGTTAATCACACGGTAAAGATTTTTTGAATGGTTCCAAGAGTCTATATACACTGAGACAGACACGCAAAGTACCAAGTAGCTATTCTTGAGCTATTCCTTCAAAAAGGCTCAGTACCAAAGGAAAAAGATTTTTGTATCTGAAGTCTTGATTTTTACAAACTCCAGTATCACAATGTGTTTTGTCAATGAAATTCCCAGGATATTACAACAAAGTGATTTAAGATTCTGCCTCATTTTAAGAATTAGTTATTTGACATCACTTAAAAATTTTCAGGAAAAGATAAATTAATAAAATATTAATATGGAAGGTAACAAATTGGACGCTTCTGAATTAACCATTCAGATTTAGGAAATCTTTTGTCTTGTGTAATCATTTCTAACATTACATTATTAAATCCTAAGTCTCATTTTAGACCATGCATTAGTTTAAGACAATGTAGATGCTTAAAGTCGGAATTATCCTACATTCTGATTACTGCCATAACCTAAGTTACAGTTTAGGGACCCTTTCCTGCAAGTGAAGTAGAGCTTGCACTTATCCCTATAAAATGTGAACCCTAAAATCTATTTTTCTGAAAACACGTCATGAACAGAAATTAGAACTGGCAAAATGTCCTTCAACAATGAAACCTTTAGAGATTAGTCTGATAAAGTCCATTTAAACAAATCTGATCCAAAAATTCACGAAAAGCAAAGAAATCCCTTCACTGAAAGCAGAAGACATACCTAAAAGTCCAGATTGTGCTCTCAAGTGAAAATCCTAGAACAAGAAAGCATCTTTGTTTCACATCCACATTAAATTTGGAATACTAATTCTCCACAGCTGAGATTTCCCTTATGTTCTGGGCTTTTAGCCATTCTACAGTGCTGAAACCAACCTTCAAGTTTAGCAACCCTCTCACCATCACTTCAGTTGGTTAGGTATCTTGTTCCTTCTTACATGTATCAAAACTCATACTGAGCCATGAGTTCTGGGTTGCAAAAGAGGATTTATTTTCTGCACTTAGGTCTAAGTCTTTGTCCACAGAACTGAACAATAACAAGCACAAGTGCAATCATAAAATACAGTATATTTAGTGCCATAATCAGCAATATACGATGGTGAGAAGAAAACTGTAGTTGTAAAAGTCTAGGAAGTTCTTATTACAAAAACACATTTGACAGTAAGGTCCTTGTTTGAATAAAATTGGCATAAAAACAGGGTTTCAGGTATCCTGAGATGGTCGTTGATCATTAGTGATTACTGTAATAAAGGTTTTCAATATATAATCTCTGTAACTTCTTTGATTTAATGCTCAAATGACACCTTGAAGCTCTTGAAATAAAGGACAGGCAAAAACAGTAGGTCTTCCGTTTATTATTTATCAAGTGATTATTTTTGCTATGCAATCCTCAATTTTTTCCTACATGTGTAACAATCTGACAGTTTTAATGCTTTTCCTGATAATCCAGTTTTACTAATTTGTTCAGATTCTTTTAATTTTCTTGCATTCATTTTTATCACTATGTTAGCATATGTATTTGCATTTATCTTTATTTTCTATGAAAAACCTTTTCTGTTTTATTTACCTTAACATTCATATTCCTATCTCCTTTTTCAGGCCATTCGATCCTGTCAAATGTTTTTGGACCTTGATGCTCTTTTTAGACAAAGCCGCTTCTTCAGTATATTCCTCTTGTTCTAAATACACATTCGTCTTCTTTCGTACTTCAGAACTTACTATGAAACAATTATAGTCCTACAATGAAAAAATCAGTATTAAGCAACAATTAAATTTTATTCCTGTTATCACAACATGGAACTGAACTCTAGGTTACTGAAAAAACCTGGAGACTACAACTAGATGTTAAAAATCCCAAATCTGTCTTCTTTTCTCATTAAGACATCCTAACAGCAATTACTGAAAAGCCCATGTTCTCACCAAATAATCCCAATGTCTTTTTTTTTTTTTTTAATGTTTTGTATATATTTCTGTGAGAGAGACACAGAATCTGAGGCAGACTCCAGGCTCTGAGCTAGCTGTCACCACAGAGCTCAATGCAGGGCTTGGGCCCAGAAACTGCGAGAATAATCCCTATTTTTATTTCCTGCACCAAATCTACTGAGCCTTTCAAAAATTAAATTCAGAATCTAAGATAGTAATAGAATAAATTCTTCCTGTACCAACTGCTATTCTGAAACGAAAGGAGACAAAAAATGTTACTTACCACCAATTTGATATCACATTCGTCATCATGTTCAAGATTTGTTGCAACCTCATCCTCTGCCCTGTAACATTTAAATATATCTTCAAGTGAGAAAAGTCATCTAGATTCCATTAGCAGGATAATATCATGATGTACAACTGACACGTCAATAGTAATTAAGGAGAAAATTTACAATTTCGTGTGTGACACCCCAAAATGGATGGCTCACGTGCCAAGCTCAGAGGTTAACTACAACCCAAATGACTTGCTGTAAAATATAAACAAATCGATACCATGATAAGGAACACTAAAATTTACACAACACTTAACAAGGGGTGTCTGGGTGGCTCACTCAGTTAAGCGTCCGACTTCGGCTCGGTTCATGATCTCGCGGTTTGTGGGTTTAAGTCCCGCATCGGGCTCTGTGCTGACAGCTAGCTCAGAGCTTGGAGCCTGTTTCTGATTCTGTGTCTCCCTCTCTCTCTGACCCTCCCCTGCTCACGCTGTCTCTCTCAGATATAAAAACATTAAAAAAATGTTTTTAATAAATAAAACATTTAAAAAACGAGTAAATTAAAATAAAATAAAAACTTTTAACAAAACCTATGACCAAAGTTATTTCACATGATTAAACTTACTCTGATTCAATAGGAGAGAGAGATCCATCATCATCCAAGTATTTGTATCTACGACTGTCAAAATCTTCTTTTTCTAAATCTTCACCAACATTCATTTGTTTCAAGGATTCCTTGAGGTAGTATTCATACTTCAGTTTTTCAAGGTAGTTGAAAAATCCTCTTGCCACTGCTTGCTAAATAAAAACACTAGTCTAAGTAATGACCTCACAAAATAAACTTTCTCAGCCGATGCCTTATGTTCCAAAATGGAAGGAATCCCTTTACCAAAAACTCTTACATGATCTTGATTTACTCTGCCATATGTGGAACACATATACCAGGTTTTAAAAGGATTTCAGTCTACCTAGCACATTATCAAATTTACCTAAGTTGGTATACACCAAGAAAACCGAAGCACAAATCTTGTTTGCATTTAAAAATGTCTTTAGAAATTCCCAAAGAAACAAATCTATACAGTTAATACAATCAGCCTAGAACAAAAGGTTAGAGAATATTCTTTTAAATATTATCACCAATTCTAGAGCAAGAGACTATAAATTATGCACAGTAATTTAAAATATTTGAGTCTGTCTCTAAATAATTGTCAGGCAGTTCTGTCAGAAATCAAATATTCGGTATCATAAGAAAATGGCCTATACTAAAGCCACTACACATCTAAGGTTATGGATAGGTTTGGCTTAGGTTACCACAAAGTCACTAGGGACCATTTGAGTTTTAGGAATGATGTTTAAAGGCTTGATGAAATCGAGGGATTTTGTATAAACAGCCTTGAAACAAACACCTCATATATGGGTATATTCATTGAGGAGACCAGTGAAGAATCCCACTAGGAACCCAAGTGAACTTAGTGCTGAAGGATAGATTGGTCTCGGAGTGGCAGTTAGTACAGAAGAGTAGATATAACCAAAGTTGGAGATTTTATTTTCCAGGTACATCTCAATTCTAAAAGTGGCCGCCAAGGGGAGCGTGGGTGACTCAGTTGAGCATCTAACTCTGTAATGCAGCTCTGGGAGACTCGCTGTAGACTACTGTTAGAAAACAGAAGACTGCCTGTAGATAACGCCCACACTTTTCCAGCTCACCAACAGCACAGAGACTGCTTAGGATTCTCTGTCCTTCATCCCTCGCTCTAAGCCTCTCCCCAGCTCACTTGTGGGCTCTTTCAGTCAAAAATAAACTTGGGGGGGGGGCATTTAAAAGTAGCCAACAAATCATTTCAGACATTCTGGGTATGTGTATCCACATAAATGAAATGCTGACCTCAAAGGTTAAAATCTTCCTCCAAGGTAATGGTTTTCTTCCATTCTCAGATTCCAAAAATGGGAACCCAGATCCTTTATCTCTCACTTGTTTCTTATTTATTTGGGAGCGTCTAGTGTTTTTTCTTCCTTTTGGTCTTCCCCTTGGTCTTCCTGTTGGCTTGTATTTCTTCTTTTTACGTTTCTTTTTTTTGAATCTTTCAAAAATAGCTTTTAAAGTCAATGGTCTTGGTTCTAAAGATGAGTCACTAGATGAATCCCTTGCTTGTACACGTTCAGGTGAATAAACAAATTTCCTAATAGTGTTTCTTTGCCTCCGTTTAGGTGAGGAAGGGACACACTGAGTTTTAAATAAGCTGCTACCAGATGAAGAATCATCACTAGGAAAAAAGGGGGAAAATTAATTACACCCTCTTAAATTACTGAAATGCCTATTGCTGTATGTACTTGTCTTCCACAGACCAAATGCAGGAAAACATGTTCAGAATAGTTTAAAAAGATGAGCTCACTACTAAGCCAACCATTTAGTTCTAACTACCTATAATGGCCTATAGTGCCATGATCTTGTAGCATTTACCAAAAAATGATCTTCCAAGAGAAATAACAGAATATCAATTTCTAAAGGCAGCCTTGTTTACTGCTATAGCTTGCTCTAAATAAAACTGGAGTAGCCAAGTAAATGTACTTAATTTGAATACAGTATAAATGCCGATTTCCCCATTTACTAGATATTTCCATCATATACATAAAAATATTGGCATCCTTGATCATGGGCCAAGTCACAAGGTAATTTTTTAAGCAAAATCACCCTCAGGTTTTGTTCCATTTGTAGGAGTAGGATAATTTTATCAGGAAGACACCAAATTGCCCCAGAGAGTATTGCTTCCCTGGTGAAGAATGTGTCCCATATAAACAAACTGAAGACCTGTGTAAAACAGGTTTTCCTTTTCTTTCCTAATTCTTGACAACTACCTTTACTGCATACTGGGTAATTCAAATACAGTAAACATTAAAATCAAATCTGGTCAAGTTTTGCAATAAAAATCTAGTAATGGTTGACTAAAAAACTTTTCAAAAGCACTTACCTGTGATTTTCAATTTCCATAGCTGAATCAGACGCCATTATAGGGTTCAGAGAATCCATTCCTGTTATGTATCCCACGTCCCTCTCCAAACTGTTTTATTCGTCACGTATTACTTAAGATTTCTGACAATTCGTCAAACATGATGTGGTTTCTCTGAACAAACGTTAACAGCTAGTACCTAAATAGTACAAAATTTCATGTAGTCAGATAATGCCATTTTATATAAATTAAGGTATCAAATACAAAGCCTTTAATATTTTTATATACAATTATCCACTTCAAATCAAATTCTAAAATCTACAAAGTGAATTCAGAGTTTCCATTTTTCAGTTGTCTTCTAAATCTTATCCAGTGAAATAAGATTACAGTACATTTCCCAAAAAACTATTAAATATCTTCCCATAACACAAAATGTAATTTCACTAGCCATATTGTGTACAAGTATTAACATACAGTTAATAAATTTTTAAGAGCAGATTGGAACTCCTAGGAAAAACTAAATACAAAGGCAGGGGTAATACTGCCGCAGTATATCAGGGAAAAATAACGCTCACGATTTACTCTGCGAATCCAAACTGCTGGCCTCAAGTTTTTCATTTGTAGCCTCTTTTCATTCGTACTATGATTCATCAGTCACTGTGAAATTTCTGGTAAGTCCTGAATTCTCAAACTTTTCAAGGAAAGGCTAACAGACTATACACAATGGTACCCTTTAACTCCCTTGTTTTAATGTACTTGGAAGCTCTTATAATAAAAAAGCAAAAAATGTCTTAGTTTACGATTTCATCTCCCTCATAGGTGATGTCAGCATTCTTCCCTTTTGGTGCTTAATCTTTACTTTGGGAGGACAGTTAAGTAATGAAAAAAGGAATCCTAGCATAAAACGGCAAAATATCACCAATCAGGAAACCTATACCATAAGTCACCCAACTATTATCTACAAAATCCCCAACTGACTCATGGTAATTTCATGGTATGTCTTGTTGCAGCTTTTCAAAATGCAAAATCTACAAATTCATGAAATAATTACTCAAGAAATTTAACAAAAATCGGGTCCATTGGCACTGATGGGACACCGGATGTTGAACCTGCCTTTTAAATATCACAATGGAGGGCGCCTGGGTGGCTCAGTCGGTTGGGCATCTGACTTCCGCTCAGGTCATGATCTCACAGTTTGTGGGTTCAAGTCCGATGTAGGGTTCTGTGCTGACAGCTCAGAGCCTGGAGCCTGTTTCGGATTGTGTCTCCCTCTCTCTCTCTCTCTCTCTGCCCCTCCCCCACTTTCTCTCAAATAAACATTTAAAAAATAAAATAAATATCACAATGGAATTAACCTAAAAACCACTTTTCAGAAACTGTTTAGAAAGCACTCCTGGGGCTCCTGGGTGGCTATGTCGGTTTTAAACTTCAGCTCAGGTCAGGATCTCCCCGTTCAGGAGTTCGAGCCCCATCCTGTCTCCTTCCGACGCTGCCCCTCCCCGACTCCCACTGTCAGAAATAGCCATTTAAAAAAAAATTTTTTTTTTAAGAAAGCACTCCTAACTAAGTGTCACTTCCCATCCCAAGATTCGGCGCTCTTCCGTAGTGCTAACAACCCCTTCAACCACTTACTCTGCCTGACCTTGGGGCGAATGTCTCCAGGAAGCACCTAACCTCGTGCAAGGAAAATGGCATCAGAAATGGTTACCTCGCACTTGCGAAAGTTAACGTAACGTGTACGTTACAGTCTTAACACCTTCACTCAGATACGACGGAGCACGCCTATAAACGCGTGGGTGCGGGCCACAATCCAGCCACAAGGCCACAGCCGCGAGCCCACCACCCTCAGGGCCTGGCTTCAGCGCTGTGGCTGGAACCTCCCGAGCAACGCAGGGATCCCGGGAAAAGCTAGCTCCTCCCTCGCTCACCAGGCCCGGACGACCATGTCCTCTTCCTACCCTCTCTAGCTGGAAAATAGCTTGCTCCAAGAGCACCGGCTCAGCACGGGCCGAGCAACCCGGGCCTCAGAGGTCTGCCTTCAACAACCTCGACAGCAGCACCCCGACACGGCAAGCACCACCTACCTCCACAGCCTTGCGGAAGAAAAGGAAGGCGTTGCTCACCACTCAGCTACTAGTGCTCCCGAAATCTCGCGAGAACACTTTAACGCCGCGAGGAACGTGAAAAGTGGGAGGCCGCAAGATGCGGGAGCGCCATTTTGATCGCCGCGAGGGGCGGGGCGATCGGGGTGGGCGGGGCCTGAACGCCTTAAAGCGGAGGAGGGTTGACAGATGGAATCCTCGAGGTTCAGGAGTCAGCTTGCTTACGGAACCCGACAAATATGTGGAATAGCCGAGAACTTTTCGGCAAATAGGGTGAAGCAAACGGAGTGGATGTGAACTGCGAAGAGGCAGCCAGTCAGCCTGATCTGTTTCTGGTATCTCGTATTTGCTGAGCCGCCGTCTGGTTTTCTAAAGCCTGGGGCAGGGGGAGGAGGGGGTGCGTGGAGTTGAGTGTGGTGTCTGCTGTGTTTTGTCAGGTCTACTTCTGTCTTCAGTTGGGGCGCCTGGGTGGCTTAGTCGGTTAAGCGTCCGACTTTCGCTTAGGTCATGATCTCACGGTTCGTGGGTTCGAGCCCCGCGTCGGGCTCTGTGCTGACTGCCAGCTCGGAGCCTGGAGCCTGTTTCAGTCTGTGACTCCCTCTCTCTCTGACCCTCCCCTGCTCACGCTGTCTCTCTCTCTCTCTCCTAGAAATAAATAAAACATTAAAAAAAAAAAAGAAATCTCTTCTGTGTGAAACTGCGACAGGCTCCTGCTTTGACCGTAACTCAAAATGTGTAACCTTTGTACTGGAAGCCAGTGTTACTCCATAGCACACCCCGTTCCCCTCTCCACCTTTGGATTTGTTTTGTTAGCTCACTCTTTCCCTCCAAACTGAGGGTCAGCCTCCAGCTGGGCGACGTGTCGCAAGAGACACCAGCGGTGGATTGTTTTTTTCTTCTGGGTTTTTGACTTAGTTCTCTGAAAGGCAACTGAGTGTTAAAACTTTAAACTAGTCTAGTTTGGTGGGTTTTTTTCTCCTAAAGCCATGACCTGGGTCGAAGTCAAACGGTTAGTGACATGAGCCACCCAGGTGCCCCCTGTATCAAAATTTTTGGGGGTGGCTCGGTCAGTTCAGCATCCGATTTCAGCACAGGTCATGATCTCGCGGTCCGTGGGTTCGAGCCCCGCTCTGGCTCTATGCTAGCAGCTTGGAGCCTGGAGCCTGCTTCAGATTCTGTGTCTCCCTCTCTCTGCCCCTCCCCTGTTCTCTCTCTCTCTCTCTCTCTCTCTCTCTCTCAAGAAAAAAAAATTAACTTTAAAAAAAAGAATTTTTCTAACCCCTTTATCTCATCACTCCCAACGCCAACCTCCCACATAAACACTTAGACACACACTACCACACTGCCTTCTGGACTGCTGACTAACCTGAAGTTCTACATTTCCAAACTAGTTATTCAGCTGTAGCCTCCCGGGTTTGGACTTTGTTTCTGTTTTGATGAGGAAAGGAAAAAAAACAAACAACTGACCCTTTAAAGATAGTACAAAGTGTAAAATTAGGATTGTATTTGAATTTAAACTTGTCTTTATTATTCCTACAAGGAATACCTGGAATGCTTTTATTTTCCTTATTATAAATATAGTATTGAGCAAATTTTGATATGTTCTTAATTATCACTTGCTGCTTTCTGATAAAGAAAACATAAGATGTTAACATTTGGAAAGTCTAGGTGTGTATTTTCTGTCCATCCGAAGTTAATTTCCAAAGAAAAAGTTAAAATGTCTCATTCCTGAACAATTATGGATTGATCAACTGAAAAACATGCTTGAGATCACTGAAATACGATGATATAGGACTTGGGGCCCATTATCAACAGTTTATATTTTATTTGGGAGACTAGATTATGCATATCATATAAATAAAGGGTAATAAAAGTTGGTATTTGATGAAGTACTTATGTAAATATGAAGTCCTACCTGTATGCGATAGCATGTTTGTGGAGGATATGATGTTTGAAATTATCATCAAAACCAGAAACCCAGTTTCTAAGAAACCTGTGAGTCTTTAGAAAATTTAAAAAAAAAAAAAAATGGGGGTGGATTTTTCAAGTGATGTTGAAAGACCACCTTCCACATACTAAGAAAGCCTGTATCAGGCTGTTGAGATTAATAATTAATGAGGTGTCCCATTAACAATTTTAATGAGAATCTGAATAGTGCCTGTATTCTTTGTTGCAGTTGGTCTAGAGAGGGACTCCCTGCCCACCTTACGTTATTTTTGCTTGGGTTTTAGGGGTTTTTTTCTTCATTTAATTTGCTTCCTCTGCTTGCACACTTCATCTCCTGAACTCTTTTTTAAGGTAAGATACTAATCTCTGTGTATATATGTCTACTTATTGTAAAAGATACTAAGCATATATATTTAAAACATCAAACTATAATCAGGTTAGAATAATTGAACGTTAAAGCTGTTGACCAGGGGGCGCCTGGGTGGATCAGCCTGTTAAGCGTCAGACTTCAGCTCAGGTCATGATCTCATGGTTCAGTTTGTGGGTTTGAGCCCCACATCGGGCTCTGTGCTGACAGCTAGCTCAGAGCCTGAAACTTGTTTCAGATTCCCGTGTCTCCCTTTCTCTCTGAGCCTCCCCTGCTCACGCTGTCTCTCTCTCTCAGAGATAAATAAAACATAAAAAAAAAAAAAATTTTTTTTAAAAGCTGTTGACCAAGAAAGTATGTTTATTTGTAAGTGAAAGTAATAATTTGAATTTCAGTAGCTACTCAGTTGCAGAATTTGCACTTTTCTTAGTAATTTAAATTTTCTTTTGTAAAAGTGATAGTCTAAGAAACGTGTTTAATTTTTAGCCTATGTGGTCAAATATAGAAAACACAATTTATCCATGAGAGAATTCCTTGAGCGGCTTATACTGTTATCTATAACCAATTGAATAGTTATTTGTAGGCCTTAAAAACTACTTTTTGCTTCAAGACCTATATTCCTTAGACCAGCCATTAGAAAACTCCGTGTTAAATCCACATCTATGACTAAAGAATCACGTGCCTTCTTGGTTTGGCATTTCCCCTTGTCTATTTGAAGTGTTGACTGTTTTAAGAATCAGTATTTTAAAAAGGTCATTTCTTCCTTGGAATATTAAACTAGAAGCTGTGGTTGCCTTTCCGTGAGGAAAGAAACCCAAATGCCCTCTGCCCTTTTTGTATAACTGAACTCTTAGTGTTCTTTTTCAGAGCAACAGCTGTTCATTCTTCATGTAGGGGAAACTCTTGTGACCATTAGCCTCCCATAGCTTGGCGCCTGTGTCCTTGCACCTCAAGAAGAAAGAAATGGCTTGTGCTGAGTACTCTTTTCACGTGCCAAGTCTTGAGGAGCTTGCTGGAGGTAAGTACAATACTAACTTTGAGGGTTTTTAAATTATTCTAAGGAAGAAAAATTAAAAATAAAAATATTGTAAGGCATAAATTGTACAATAGTATTTTCGATGCAGAAATTTCATTTTCCTTTATAGTGTCTCTTCTGTACTATTTTTATTGAGAAAGTCCAAAATTATGCCCCTCCAAAAAAAAACTAAACTCACCACTTGAAGATTCTTGGTAAGATACCAACTTTACAGAGTGAAAATGAATATAGTAATCCAATATTTAAGTGTGTGATGCCCAAAAAGTCACACCATTTTAACTTTTACTAGTTACAATATTCTTTAAGTATGAAATCTGTGATATATTAATCATGTTCTTAACATTAGTACTTTTTCCCCTTCTTCTGTTATGATAGACTGCCAATGAACTTGCTTAGATTTTCTGTCAGTATATATTTTTATGCACTTCCCCTTGTTCAAACAGGAATTTAAGGCAGCTTTGCAAGATTAGGTGGGGTGACAGATAAGAAAAAGAAAGTAAAACTAGGAATATGAAATGAAGCCAGAAACAGTACTAACCCAAAACTATATAGTCTGTCAGAAAGCTAACATTTGATTTATGGCCTTTAGATTGTATTCTGGTGGTAACTATAACCTACCCTTACTTTTCAAAGTGCACCCATCCTGATAGTTCATCTGTCTTCCTGATTAAGGTAGAAGTCAAGAAGCATACTCAGGTTTTGTTTGGTTGTGACTCTCTTCTTCTGACCTTCCTATTTTTTCCTCAATTGGATGGCACCAGTTGAGCCATCCAGGTGCCTCTGTGTCTGTGTTTCTATATGTTCTTTCTATAGGTACAGGATATTTTCAGTACAAAATAGAAATGAATCTAAGTTTTTTGACTTAAAATTTACTTTCAATTTTACATAAAATCCTATAGTAAGAATTTGGTCTCTTTGTAATCAGTAAAAAATAGATTTAACTATATTTCCACATGCTGAAATCTTATAATTTATACATTCATTAGCCTGCTAATTAATAAATTAGCTCTAAATTTATTTAGAACTAAACTAAATTCATTAGTTTAGGTAGGGGAATTTTCCAGGCAATTTGGTTTCTGTTTTCATATAGATAAAAGATGTGGTATAGAATGTCTGTATGGCTAGATTAGGATGACTTCATGTTTTGGAAATGGCTGATTCTACAAAACTTAAACTAATGGCTGACACTACTATGAGAGAAATACTTATGGAAACTTTCCATCCTTAGAAGTACATTGCTCCTGGAGCACCTAGGTGGCTCAGTCAGTTAAGTGTCCAACTTCAGCTCAGGTCATGATCTCACGGTTCATGGGTTCAAGCCCCGCTTCAGGTTCTGCATTGACAGCTCAGAGTCTGGAGCCTGCTTTGGATTCTGTGTCTCCCTCTATCTCTGCTCCTCCCCTGTTCATGCTCTGTCTCTGTCTCTCAAAAATAAATAAACATTAAAAAAAAAAACAAAAACCTGGCTAGCCTCTTCTTAGCTCTTAACCTTAAAAAAAAAAAAAAAAGTATATCGCTCCTAGCTTTATAACTTTGAAATATGTTTCCTTTTTTCCTTCTTTTATTGAGTTATAACATGTCTGCAGTAAAGCACACTAATCTTAAGTGTTACATCTTGATGGATTTTAACATGCTACATCCATGTCGCTATCACCCAGACTGAGATATAAAATATTTCTGGCATTCCAGAAGATGCCATCAGTTATTTAGCCAGTCACTATCTCTACCCAAAGAGGTAACCACTATTCTGACTTCTGTCACCTTAGACGAGTTGCCCGATTTTGAAGTCTGTGTAAGCGAAGTCATATAATCTCTTTTGTGTCGTACTTCTTTTGCTCAACATTTCCTCTTCAAGTGTTAATGAAGTTGTTACATGTAATTGCTTACTTTCTAACAGTTTAAAATATATACATTTCAATAGGTCTTTGGAATTCTGTCCCCAAAAGGAAAGTAGTCCTCACCTTAGTGCAGTGTTTAAATCTCTACAGATTATAGTGATTTTGATAGAGGGTATTTGTGTTTAATTATATTGTGATTAATTGTGTGTCTAATGTCTAATTATATTCATTAACAAGACCTTGTGATTAATTGTGTGTCTAATGTCTAATTATATTCATTAGTAAGACCATTTCCCTCTCTCTCTTTTTTTTTTTTTTAATGTTTGTTTATTTTTGAGAGACAGGTGAGTGGGGAACAGAGAGAGAGGGAGACACAGAAATCTGGAGCAGGCTCCAGGCTCCAAGCTGACAGCACAGAGTCCTATGTGGGCCTCAAACCTGAGAACTGTGAGATCATGACCTGAACCCAAATTGGACACTTAGCCAACTGAGCCACCCAAGCACCCCTTGCTGTTTTTTTTTTTTTAATTATAGTAAGCCCTGTACCCAACATGGGGCTTGAACTCGTGACCCCAAGATCAAGAGTCCCTCGCTCTACCAACTGAATGAGTCCCCTCCCCTTGCCCTCTCCCTGCGCTGCCTTTTAATTATACAAATTTAGACTGCGAGCATGATATCCAAAATGTTGAGGAAAGATTTGATATATGGTGGCAAAGTTTTATCTGATGTTAACCCTTCTCCTTGTCTGTCAGTTCTGCAGAAGGGGCTCAAGGATAACTTTGCTGATGTCCAGGTGTCTGTGGTCGACTGCCCTGATTTGACTAAGGAGCCATTTACCTTTCCTGTAAAAGGTAAACAGTTTTTGCAGTTCACTTTTTTCCGTCCCGATCTTATTCTGAAACCAGAATTATTATGAAGGGTTGTCTTAAATTATCTACAAATAAAAGATATTGTTCCAAAGTTTAAGACTAAATTGTGCTGAATTTCTGTGCAGTTTTCTTAAATTGAGCAGATTTCATTTTATTCCTTTGTGAGAAAATACTGTTTTATGCATTTGTTATTTTCATGGGTTATATCATCAATATTCATTAGGCTAGAATCCTTGGTATCACATAAGAGTTTTGTTTTTAACTGTTGGAGTGACTGTTAAGGAAATGTAAATTTTTCAGTTTTTATTTATTTATTCAAGACCGGGAGAAATATTAAATGCCTTGTATTTGAGTCATTTGTAAATACTTACTTGCCTAGTGATCATCCAGCCAATGTTTAAAGTAAGAAGTAAATATAAATATTTACAAATGTAATATAACTTGTATGATAAATAAACACCTATATTCAGTGTCTTAATTTTGACAGTAACACTGCAAAGTATGTGCTCACCCCAGTCTAGAGATGAGAAGACTGAAGCTCAGAGAGGCTAGGCAAGACCAACAGTAGTCATAATCAGGATTCAAATCCAAATCTGTTTTGAAAGTCCGACCTTCTCCCATTGTACCCTATTATAATGAGGAATTTGGAGATAAACACTCACACTGCCTCTTTGATTATGTTACTGACATGTTTGTTAAAAAGTCATTTTACACAGAAGTCCTGGACTCTGCTTCTCTCTCTGCCATGTACAGATTTCATTACCCTAAAGTAAGCCAAATAATGTATTTGGGCTTCAGATATATTAAAATGAAGAGATTTGGCTTTCATGTTCCTTCTGGGTCTTTCCAGCTTAAACAGTCGTTGATTTTAAGTATACTTGTACATTCTCGAAGTCTTCTGTACCAGAGGATTATAATATATTCTCCCCACTAAATAAGTAGTTAATTAAAGTAAAATTAAAAAATTAGAAAACACAGAAGAGTACAAGGAAAAGAAAAAGTGATTAATTTTAATTCTGTCATCCAAAGAGGTTTCTAGCCAATAAATTGTAAGCCTTTAAATTGCAACACTAAGGAAGCTAGATATGTACATATATATTACTGATCTTTCACAAACGTTAGGTACTTTCTATATAAACTGGTGTGACTGAAGTCACCAATGACTTTGGTATGTTTACTAGTATTACTTGGTTTCTCACATACTTTGTAGTATTCGGCCATCACTGCCTGACATTCTCTCTCCCCTTAGTTCTCTCTCCTCTCTTCGTGACTCTTTCGCCTTTTCTTCCTTGGTGCCTTTCCTACATCCATGATGTCTTTCTTCCTCTGCTGGCAGGCTCTTAAATTCTGACACTTTCTAGAATTCTTTCCTCAACCTCTTCTTACTCTGTACAGTCCCTCTGCACTTTTCCATCTACTCCTGTGATTTCAAATTACTGTTGAGATACAGGAACTTGAAATCTGCACATCTTACCTAGCTGGGTCTTTCTCTCTTTCTTGGCTGTAGATCACTTAATTCCAGCTGTCCACAGGGCACCTCCACCTATTGATGCTAAGGACAACTTGAGGTCAGCATGTCTAAAAGTTAGCATATTCCATCACTATACTCTCCCTTGTCCTCTTTCTTAATCTACTCTTCTCCATCTCTACAGTCCCCATTTTTAGCTCATTACTTGTCTTTTCCCGGGACTACTAAAACGGTCCGTTAATGGTTTCTTTAAATTTCAGCATTATGGGGCGCCTGGGTGGCTTAGTCGGTTGAGCGTCCGACTTTCGCTCAGGTCATGATCTCGCGGTTCGTGGGTTCGAGCCCCGCGTCGGGCTCTGTGCTGACTGCCAGCTCAGAGCCTGGAGGCTGTTTCAGTCTGTGACTCCCTCTCTCTCTGACCCTCCCCTGCTCACGCTGTCTCTCTCTCTCTCTCCTAGAAATAAATAAAACATTAAAAAAAACAAAACAAAAATAAATAAATAAATAAATAAATTTCAGCATTACTATCACTTATGAGACAGACTCTTATCCACGAGTAATTTCTTCCAATGATCCCATGGAAGATACTTCTAAAATCCCTAATTATAAATGCAATCTATAAAACTTTTGTACATCTGCCTTCTGTGTAGCTAAAGAAATAGCTGTATGTATACTTTATTTTGTGATATTGTTAGTATAAAACTGACAAGGCTATTTTTTTTCAAATGAAAAGACAATTATTTTCCACTTTATGTTAAAAAAAAAAAAAAAGAAGGTGCCTTTCCCAAATTGTGTCTAGTCCTGTACCTGTGATGTTAATTAAAAGTGTAAGTAGATAGTTCCCAATATCTGGTGGCATCTGCATGGTGGCTCAGTTGGTTGGGCATCCGACGTCATCTCAGGTCATGATCTCACAATTCATGGGTTTGAGCCCCACATCAGGCCCTGTGCTGACAGCTCAGAGCCTGTTTCAGATTCTGTGTCTCCCTCTCTCTCTGCGCCTCCCCTGCTCATGCCCTGTCTCCCTCTGTCTCGAAAATAAATAAACATGAAAAAAATTTTTTAGAAAAGTTCCCAACATCTGAAGTTATCTCTAATTAATTACATTTCTATAAACAACTTTGACAAGAGGCTGTCCCAATATGGATTTCTTAAAGAACTAATATTCTATCAAAGCAAAATATTTTATATTAAAGTACAATTTTAGCCAACTCCCTCTCCACCAAAGGAACAGAGTTTTTAAAAAAAAATTTTTTTTAATGTTTATTTATATTTGAAAGAGAGAGCACAAGTCAGGGAGGAGGAGAGAGAGGGAGAAAGAATCCAAAGCAGGCTCCAGACTCTAAGCTGCCAGCACAGAGCCTGACATGGGGCTCGAACACACAAGCAGTGAGATCATGACCTGAGCCAAAGTCAGATGCTTAACTGACTGAGCCACCCAGGCGCCCCAAAAGCACAGATTTTTAAGGGAATAGATCATTACAGACTAGTTGTAGAAATCTCATCCTATCTAAATTTTGGCTTCAATTCTAGCCCTTGCTCTATTGTCAACTTTCTGTCTCCTTTATGTTTGATGATAACAGTATTAGAAGTACGAGTAGTTAGAATAGGATAGGTATCATAGCTATTTTCATCTTTCAATCCCTACTATTTGTGAAACTATTAGAATGGAAAAGTTATGTACTCTTAATAAACTAAATTAGTGCCTTCTGGCATTTTATACCTAAGTGAGAGGTTTGCCTACTTTTAAAATTACTTTTTTTTTAGGCATCTGTGGGAAAACTAGAATTGCAGAAGTAGGAGGGGTGCCTTACTTATTGCCTCTTGCAAATAAAACAAAAGTAAGTGAACTTTTACTTTTCACATTCCCATGAAGATTATAAGAAGTTGAGTTGATTCATCTTCTTATTATTAGTACATCCATTGACCAGTGTGGACTCAGTCAAAAAAAGTAAAGATTTGTATAAGTTATGATTTAAATAATATTTTTTCTTCTTGTGTAGGTTTATGACGTAAATAAGATTGCAAAAGAGATTAAGCTTCCTGGAGCTTTTATTCTTGGAGCAGGAGCAGGCCCATTTCAGACTCTTGGGTTCAATTCTGAGGTCAGCATACGTGTAATTATTTTTTTTTAATTTTTTTATTATTTAATTTTTTTATTTCATCGATTTGACATTTGGTTTACCTATTTTTCTTCTATTGCCCTACCAGAAAGTCTACTTTCTGAATGAATTATAAGTGGTTGATACCATCTTTCTTTACAGATTTGATCTTGTTTGATACAGATTTGGACTATAACACATGTTCCGCTGTAATGGAGCACCAGCCTCTAATTTCAGATTTTCTAGAATATACACTCTGTGTGAGAGGAGCCTAATGTCCTGATGTGGTCTGCTGAGGACGCTGGATTGTGCAGGATTTTAATGCTTATCCACCATAGAATTCCTACCTTCACTGTAAATCTTTCCTTTTGATATGAAAGCAGCTTTTGATCAGAAGATGAATGGAATATTTAATGATTCTCAAATATTCCCTCTTTTAGACTAAATAGCAAGGAACTACTCCAGTGGTATAATGATTCTTTACAAAAGATACTATCTATTACTGTGTGTGTTAGTGTGTTTACAACATAAAAACACTCTTCACATCTCTAGACTAGAAAAGTCAAAGACCTCTTAAGTCTGCCCATTCCTGCACCTCTTGAGATGTGACCATTACTCAATAGTCATACAAGGTTCTTTTGTAGAAAGTGTAATATAATTTACCTAATGTCCAAGATAGAAAAAATGTCTAAAATTTAAAGCCCAATTTACAAGGGTATTGGAACACTGTAAGAAATACTGTAAACATTTTATAAAATGTTTTTTTCAATTTTTTGGTGTTTATAAATCTTCAACATTTTGAACGTAAAATTAAATATTCCATACTTCATATTTTCTTAATAGGTCCTGAAATAAAATATCTTAAGGATACTCAAGATATTCTCTTTGCATATTGATGTCAGGAATGACTGATTTACTCTTCTTATTTACTCTTATTTTCAGTTTATACCGGTTATTCAAACAGAAAGTGAACACAAATCCCCAGTAAATGGAAGCTACTTCGCCCGTGTTAACCCTGCAGATGGAGGGTGCCTGCTCGAGAAATACAGTGAGAAATATCACGATTTTGGGTGTGCATTACTGGCTAATCTTTTTGCCAGTGAGGGCCAACCTGGAAAGGTGATTTTTTGTTCACAAAAACACAGTATTCTCCAGAAGTTCTCAGCTAAAAATTTGAACTTGTACTGCCAGATATACAGTTTTCTTAAGAAAAGTCAAAACTAGCAAAGTCAAATTTCTTTGAATAAGCCAGTTATTAAAGATTCAGAGAATACTACAGACAAGTTGAAAGTCTTTTTTTTTTTTTAATGTTTTTATTTATTTTTGAAAGAGAGAGAGACAACGTGAGCAGGGGAGAGTCAGAGAGGGAGACACAAAATCCAAAACAAGCCCCAGGCTCTGAGCTAATTGTCAGCACAGATCCTGATGAGGGCTCGAACCCACAAACCGCGAGATCATGACCTGAGCCAAAGTTAGACGCTTAACCGACTGAGCCACCCAGGCACCCCTGAAAGTCTTATTTAAAACTGTGGTGAAGAATACTTAGTAACCAATACCTTGTTTTCTGAGGAATAAAAGGTAGTCATATTCATGTGCAGAGTGAGTCACAGCTGAAATAGATAATGCCTGCGTGCAGTTCCTATGTAGGTAATTTGTTCATTACTGATTGATCAGACATTGGTTAAGCTAGACAGAAATGGCGGTAGCAAAATCTTACAGCAAGAAAGAGGTAAGAAAAATTAATGCCTCACTTCATATTTGCTTCCTGTTAGAACACAAAAAGATCATTTCAATGTTAGCAGTTGTGAGAACTCTCAGGTTTTCAAATAGAGGGAGCTGCTTCAGCTACTTTGAGAAGCCAGGTAGTGAAGTAAAAAGACCTAATTAAGTGGAGGTAACACAAGTCCAGAATTTTAAGGGAAGGGAGAACAGGTAATCATTTCTCCTCGCTTCTAAATTACTAGAGGTTAACCCTTTAAGACAGGAATTCTCAACCTTTTGTCACTTTAACATGTAAATGATAAGTATCTCTAGAGCTCAATGGAGGACTTTGCTATAACTCTCTCTGTCCAAGAAAACATGAATAAGACTTACTAGAGTAAATGATAACTCATCCTGTGTGTGTGTGTGTACACAGTGATACAATATGTATCATTGATCAAGACAGGATTGAGATACCTCGGCTCAACTCCTATGTGTGTGCTCCAAGCAAACAAGTGAATATTTGCTTAATGGCATTAGATCATATGTTTCACTTGGATAGTTATTCACATAAAATTTTGCAGCTTAGAACAATGGTATGCGTATTTGTATCCTCTCTAGGTCATTGAGGTGAAAGCCAAAGGAAGAACTGGAAAACTTAACTTTGTGACTTGTATGAGACAAACTCTTGAAAAACATTATGGAGATAAGCCTGTAGGCATGGGAGGTACTTTCGTAATTCAGAAGGGAAAAGCGAAGACTCATATAATGGTAAGGGTCTTTGTGTACCTGTGTATATGGGTATGTACGTGCACATATTTAAGGTCTTGAGATTTTTAAAAAATTTTTTTATGTTTTTATTTATTTTTGAGAGAGACAGGCACGAGCAGGGGAGGGACAGAAAGAAAGGGAGATACAGAATCTGAAGACAGGCTCCAGGCTCTGAGCTAGCTGTCAGCACAGAGTCCAATGGAGGGCTCAAACCCACAAACCGTGAGATCATGACCTGAGCCGAAGTTGGATGCTTAAACAACTGAGCCACCCAGGCACTCCAAGATCTTGAGATTTTTTTAATATACATTGAGAAACCTTAAAATACCCTGAATGCTTTTACTATGATTGTATTAATTTTATTTATTTATTTAATCCTTTTAAAATTTTTTTAATTTTTATTATTTTTTTTAATCAAGTCCTTTTTATTTAAAAAAATTTTTTTTAATGTTTATTTAGTTTTGAGAGAGAGACACAGAGTCAGAGAGGGGGAGGGTCAGAGAGAGAGAGAGAGACACAGAATCTGAAGCAAGCTCCAGGCTCTGAGCTGTCAGCACAGAGCCCGACGTGGGACTCAAACCCATGAACTGTGAGATCATGACCCAAGCTGAAGTTGCCCACTCAGTCGACTGAGCCACCCAGGTGCCCCAATCCTTTTTTTTTTTTAAGTTTATTTCTTTTATTTTGAGAGAGAAAGAGAGCGATTAGGAGAAGGGCAGAGAGAGAAGGAGAATTAAGAATCCCAAGCAGGCTCCACACTCAGTGGAGAGCCCAACACAGGGCTCAGTCTCACAAACCATGAGGTTATGACCTGAGTGGAAATCAACAGTTGGACACTTACCTGACTGAGCCACCCAGGTGCCCCGTGTGTTACTTTAAAACTTAATTGACAGACAATACTGTAAATCATACTGTAAGATAGTATCTAACTAGAGTTCTATATTTATGTTAATATATTGGAAGTTTCTTTGTGTTTTTAAGATATAGATAGATGTGAGTATAAGCCTTAGAAATGGATTATCATTTTTTTTTGGATTATCATTTTTACTGCCAGAATCCCAAACTCCGTATGTAGACTTTGCTATCCAGATGGTTGTGGTTTTGGGGAAAGCACTCATTATGAGAATTATAAACTTATGGGCTAATTATATAAGTTTATGAGACAGTAAGGATGGAATACCGTATGAAGCAAGACCCAGGGCATTCTAGTGCTAAAATAATTTTTTGTAGGTAAGTGAATGAATGAAGTGTAAAAGTAACTACAACTTAATCTCCTTTTCATTTTATCACTAAACTCATCAAAAATGTTTGGGTTTAATGTTTTTTATCCTGATAATTTTAAATGGCAAGTCAGCTGATTTTGCAAAGAAAGACACAACATTTATGAAACTACTTAGTTTTCCAAACTGTTAAAAAACAGAATCATAGATAAACCTATTTGTAAATGCCAAATAATTACAGGAATTTTAAAAACTCAAGTACACAATACTTTATTATTAACTATGAGCATACCTCGTACTATTGTGTTTCACATTACTGCATTCACGGATACTGCATTTTTCATACATTGGTTTGTGGCAACACTGCATCGAGCAAGTCTTTTGGCACTAGTTTCCCAACAGCCTCTGCTCACTTCCCATCTCTGGGTCACATTTTGGTAATTCTCACAATATTTCAAACTTTTTCATTATTATATTTGTTATGGCGATCCATCATCAGTGATCTTTGATGTAACTATTGTAATTGCTTTGGGGTGCTACAAACTGCACCCATGTAAAATTAGCAGCTTAATAAATGTTGGTATGTTTTGACTTTTCCACCAACCGGCCATTCCCCTGTCTCTCTCCGTCTCCTCAGGCCTCCCTATTCCCTGGGACACAACAATATTGAAATTAGGCCAGTTACTAACCCTACAGTGGCCTCTCAGTGTTCCAGTGAAAGGAAGAATCACACATCTCTCACTTTAAATTAAAGACTAGACACGATTAAACTTAGTGAAGCAGGCAGGTCAAAAGCCAAGGAAGACCAAAAGCTAGACCTCTCACCCAAATAGCCAAGGTGTGAATGCAGAGGAAAAAGCCTTGATGGAGAAAATTAGAAGTGTTACTCCATTGAATCCACAAATGGTAAGAAAGTGAAAATAGCCTTATTGCTGATATGGAGGAAGTTTTAGTGGTCTGGATGGAAGATCATGCCAGCCATAACAGTCCCTTAAGCCAAAGCCTAATCCAGAGCAAGGCCCTTCTTCCATTCTATGAAGGCTGAAAGGGGTGAGGAAGTTGCAGAAGAAAAGTTTGAAACTAGCAGAGGTTGGTTCATGAGGTTTAAGAAAAGAAGCTGTCTCCATAACATAGAAGTGCAAGGTGAAGCAGCAGATGCTGATGTAGAAGTTGCAGCAAGTGATCCAGACTGAGCATGTTTTCATGAGTACTAACATCGCATCCATTCTGCAGCCCATGGATCAAGGAGTAATTTCAACTTTCAGGTTTTATTATTGAAGAAATACATTTTAGGGGCACCTGGGTGGCTCAGTTGGTTAACCATCCAACTTTGGCTCAGGTCATGATCTCATGGTTCATGGGTTCGAGCCCTACATTGGGCTTTGTGCTGACAACTCGAAGCCTGGAGCCTGCTTTGGATTCTGTCTTCCTCTCTCTGCTCCTCCCCCGCTGGTGCTCTGTCTCTCTCTCTCAAAAATAAACATTAAAAATTTTTAAAAAATACATTTCTTAAGATTATAGCTGCCATAGAAATATGGCAGCTCAGGGCAAAGTCGATTGAAAACCTGGAAAGGATTCACCAGTCTAGATACTATTAAGGACATTTGTGATTCATGAGAAGAGATCAAAATATCAACATAAATAGGAGTTTGGATGAATTTGATTACAATTCCCATAGATGACTTTGAGGGATTCAATTAAGTGGAGGAATTAACGGCAGATGTGGTAGAAACAGCAAGAGAACTAGAATTAGAAGTGGAGCCTGAAGGTGGGACTAAGTTACTGCACTCTCATGATTAAACCTGAACAGATGAGGAGTTGCTTCTTATGGATGAACAAGGAAAGTGGTTTCTTGAGGTCGAATCTGCTGGTGAAGATGCTGTGAAGCTTGTCTCCTTTATAGCGCAGACATTTGTAATTTGATGTAGTCCCACTTATTTATTATTCCCTTTGTTGCGCCTGTACTTTTGATGTCATGTGCAAGAAATTGTGGTGAAAATCCTATGACCTGAAACTTTTCCTTTAAGTTTTCTTCTCAGTTTTATATTTTATTATTATTTTTTAAATGTTTTTTATTTATTTCTGAGAGAGAGAGAGACAGTGTGAGCAGGGGAGGGTCAGAGAGAGAAAGAGACACAGAACTGAAGCAGGCTCCAGGTTCTGAGTTAGCTGTCAGCACAGAGCCCAATGCGGGGCTCAAACCCACGAACCGTGAGATCATGACCTGAGCTGAAGTCGGACGTTTAACTGACTGAGCCACCCAGGCGCCCCCCTCAGTTTTATATTTTAGCTCTTATAGCTAGGTCTTTGATCCATTTTGAGTTCATTTTTGTACATGTATAAATTAAGAGTTCAACTTCCCTCTCTCTTTTGCACATCAATATTCATATTTCGCAGCACCATTTTTTGAAAAAGACAGTCCATTTCCATTGAATGGTCTTGACACCCTTATTGAAAATTATTTGACCATGTATGCAAGGGTTTATTTCTGGGATCTCTATGCTATTCCACTGATTTGTATGTCTGTCTTTATGCCAGTGTTACACTGTTTTGATTACTTGTAGTAACTTTGATATCAGGAATTGCTCGGTCTCCAGCTTTCTTGTTTCCCCGAAGATTGGTTTGGCTCTCCAGGGTCCCTTGAGATTCCTCATGAATTTTATGATGGATTCTTCTATTTTAACAAAAAACTTTATTGGGATTTTAATAGGGATTGCATTGAATCTTTAAGTTGCTTTTGGTAGTATTAACATCTTAACAATACTAAGTTCAATTCATGAACACAGGATATTTTTTCCATTTATCGGAGTCTTTTAAAGTATTTTAATGTTTTATTTTTGAGAGAGAGAGAACACGAGCAGGGGAGGGGCAGAGAGAGAGGGAGACACAGAATCTGAAGCAGCATCCAGGCTCTGAGCTGTCAGCAGAGAGCCCAATGTGGGGCTCAAAATCATGAACCACAAGATCATGAGCCAAAGTCAAATGCTTAACCAGTGAGCCACCCAGGTGGCCCCTTGGAGTCTTTTTAAATTTCTTTTAGCAGTGCTTTGTAATACAAGTTTTTTTGTTTTATTTTGTTCTTTGCCTCCTTAAGTTTCTTTTATTCTTTTTGATGCTTCTACCAACCTCTAATGCCTTGCTTCCCCCCCACACACACCCCTCAATATACTGGTAGCAATAATGAGATTTAAAATTAGGATGAGGATATATTTCCAGGAAAACTGAGATGCTATGAAAAAGATAGTAGAAGACTCATTCCTTCATTTCTTCATTCACGTATTTTAGCTTATACCCTTGATTGATGATCCTTTTGGGTTTTTTTTTTAATTAAAAAAATTTTTTTAATGTTTCCTTACTTTTGATAGAACACAAGGGGGACAGGAGAAGAGAGAGAGACACACACGGAATCTGAGGCAGTCTCCAGGCTCTGAGCTGTCAGCACAGAGCCCGACAAAGGGCTCAAACCCACAGACCTGAGCTGAAGTCGGTCACCCAACCGACTAAGCCACGTAGGCTGGTGATCCTTTTGAAAACTATGGTGCATAACTTGTTTTGATTCTAAAAGCAGTCAAATCTATAAGAAGGCTTAGATTTAATGTAATGAAGTTAGAAATAATTTACATTTTAATTCTCAATAATATTCTATATATTTAGAACGTTCTTTTATTGTAGCCCGCAGAATTTTCTTCCTGCCCATTGAACTCTGATGAGGAGGTGAATAAATGGTTGCACTTTTATGAGATGAAAGCTCCTTTGGTTTGTCTGCCAGTTTTTGTCTCCAGAGACCCAGTAAGTTTATGTCTGTCTTTAATATTGCAGTATAATACAGTGATCATGCTTGGGCTTTAGGATATTCTTTTAAAATTAGGTACTTTCTGTGTTGCCATTTAAAAATCAGGATAGTCTCCAGAATTATCTTGGAAGATGAGGAGGCAGTTGGCTAACACCCCTATGAGTTAGGCAGGGTAGATTGTACTTTTGAGCAACTGAAGGCACAGCTATTTTACATGACACCCAAAGTCATATTATTAAATAGTAGAATCAAGACCAGGATTCAGGTCTCCTATCGTCTTATTTGTTGCTTGTCATACTATTCCTTATATTCTAAACACTAGACACTAGAAATAGAGACCAATTCAGAGAAAGCAGCATCTACCACAATACTGACTTCTGATCCAGCGATTACATGTCTAGGAATTTATCCTTAAATATATGTGTTAAGTATGTAAAATTATTAGTTAAAAGGTTATTTATGATAGCATTACTCTAATAGAATTTGAAATAATCTAAATGTCAGTTGGGAATTAGTGGAATTGCTGTCTGTCTGCAATAGAATGCTATGTGGATGTAAAAGAAAGAAGCAGTCCTTTTATGATCTGATATACTAAGGTCTCAAGCTGTATTTTTAAATGAAGAAACCAATATTCAGAACAGTATGTACAGAGTAAAAATGTGAGTAAAAAAGTAAATATTTCTGGAAGAATATATAAGAAACTCCATAAACACTGGCTCCCTGCAAGGAAACGGGGTAAGCGGTAAAGGCAGAAGATGTAAGGACACATTTTACCAAATATATCCTTTTTCATGCTTTGAATTTTGAATTAAATTTTGTATTACTTTAAAACTAATTAAAAACCATAACAAACAAGAAGGTCTCCCCCCCCCCCTTAAACAATTCCTATCCAAAATCATTTAAATACTGACACATAGCTTGTCTGTTGTCCTAGGGCTTCGATTTGCGATTGGAGCACACCCATTGTTTTAGTCATCACGGAGAAGGTGGACACTACCATTATGACACTACCCCAGACACAGTGGACTATCTTGGATACTTCTTGCCTGCAGAGTTTCTGTATCGCATTGATCAACCAAAAGAGACCCATTCAATTGGGCGAGATTAAATCAAAGGAAAAAGAATTAAGGTTAATTAATTAACTCATTAATTGATACTAATATAAAATCCAATGGAAATGATCTTACTACTTAAATCTCATTTTTTTGGCCTTTAACTGAAAGGTATGTTAACATTTGTACTCTGTATTATCTGATATATTTGGAGATTATTAGGAACAAAGATACATAGTGAAAGTGTTCTTCATTTTTTTATTCTTTAATCACAGCAAAATCAACCTTATGTTTATACCTTGAATATAGCATGATCAGGAATCATGTGATTATTCCTACTATCTACTGGTAATAACTCATATTTATATAACATTGTTGAATTTTTCAAATTAGTTGCACAACTCCTAAGTGGATGTTCCTGGGTATTAGAAAAGTCAGCGTTGCAAATGCTGATAGTTGTTGAATCTTAATACTAAATTTAAAAAATTCATTTCAGAAATCAAAGTATACTTTTATTTTCATGGAATAAGGTAGGCAGAAGAAGCAACTTTTCCCCTTTTGGTGGGGTTGAACCATACTCAAGAGTTTGCAATTTGCCTTTCACAGACTTTGGCAAGTAGGTGGTTAGCCATGATGCCTCCTTTGTTTGGATTGCCAATTGGAAGCAGTTTGTATCTTGTTGGCTATTTGCCAGAAGGGAAAAAAAAAGCATCAAAATACAACACTTGAAGTGGGTATACTTGAACTTATAAGTGAGGCCGTTGCTACACATGACACCGTCCTTTGTGAAATGAAAAATCATACTCTTTTACTGATTGAAATTGTTGACATTTTCCTCAGTATTCTTCTTTAATAATCATTAGCCAGAAATCAGCTGTCTAATCTTAATCTTGCTAATGCTAACCATGTGCAGATTTAGGAGCTCTTTAATACCAAACACATACTAAATCTTCAAAACATATTTTTTGATTGTCGTCATTGGATATTCACAGGATTCACAGGATATAGGTCACAGGACCTATAACCTGTCCTGTGAGTGGAAATTCCTAAATGTTATTTTTATAAGAAGCACTAATCTGAAGCAAAAAATAAATAAAAATTTTATATTCACGATATGTTTCTTTTTTAACATTTATTTTTTTGAGAGACAGAGCATGATTAGGGGAGGGGCAGAAAGAGAGGGAGGAATCTGCAGCAGGCTCCAGGCTCTGAGCTGTCAGCACAGAGCCTGACGCGGGGCTCGAACTCACAAACTGCAAGATCATGACCTGAGCTGAAGTCGGACGCTTAACCGACTGAGCCACCCAGGCGTCCCATGATGTTTCTTTTTAATATCTTGCCTCCAGACAGAAAAAAATATTAGTGTTTATTGGTTTAACAAAAACATATTGGACACCTACCCTGCCCACTGGAATGTAAACTCCATGAGAGTAAGGGCTTTGTTTACCAGTATAGCACTAATGCCTTTAATAGTGCCTGGCCAAGGTAAGCACTCAATAAATATTTGCTGAATGGATGAGTGTATGGAAGACTATGCCAGATGCTTCACCAGACGTGGGGCTCTATCATTCAGTCATTTATATAGTGTGGGGAAAAATAACAATAAATAAATGTATAATATGACAGGTAGTGTTAAGTCCTATGAAGAAAAATAAAGCACAAGATAGACTGAAAAAGGAGTATGCTATTTTTTTAAAGTTTATGTACTTATTCTTGAGAGACAGGGAGAAACAGATAACGTGGGCAAGGGAGAGAGCATCCCGATGTGGATGCATGCTCCGTGCTGTCATTGCAGAGCCCAATTGTGGGGCTCAATCTCACAAACCATGAGATCATGACCTGAGCCGAAATCAAGAGTTTGCACACTTAACCACCTGAGCCACCCAGGCGCCCCTAAGGAGGATGCTGTTTTGTGGAGTCCATCCCACATGAGACAGGATGGACTCAATACCCCAATTTAGGTTTGGATGTCAAAACGGATAAAGTCACCCACACCCCAAGAGGGTATGAAAGTGTTTACTACTTGCATAATGAGGCTTTCCGGGGAAAGCAGAATAGCTCCCAAGCACGTCCAAAAATGGCCTGAGAGAACACGGAAAGGAGCCTGCTTTGGGCTTTCTATGGTAATGAACAGTTATGGCCGAGGTGATGCTTCCATATGCAGTTTAAGTTTCCCACAAGTGTCGAAGGAGCAGCCAGGCTTATCAGCTTGCTCGAATACAGAACAGAATGGGAAGAGGGAGGAGAGAGAGGCTTAACAGCTGTCAGCAGTCATACATTGAGAAATGGAATTAGATTCTTTATTACACATGCTATAGGAAAATCAGGAAAAGACTGATAAAGAGACATTTGAGGAGAGACCTGAAAGAAATGAGAAAGTGAGCCATGAAGTTACTTGGAGATACATCCTTCTTGGAGATTCAAAGGTCCAGCGGCAGGAGGGGACTTGGTATGTTTAAGAAGCAGCATGGGGTTGTTGTGAACAAAATAGGATCACCTGACTCAGCAGCTAACATGTAGTGCATGCTCTCAGAAGCAGTTTTGTAAATGCTATATATGTATTCACAAAGTTTTATGTTGATGCCATATTTATTTTAACTATCTATATCATCAACTATTGGAGGTTCTAGTCCAGAAAAGCAAACAAGAAAGGATAATGACTGAGAAAGAAGACAAACGTTTTTGACAGAAAGCGTAATTGAGTCTCAGAAAACACAAGGGAGTTTATAGTGAAATTACTAGACTGTATTCAAGAAGATTCCAAAATATAAAATCAATGTATAATGATGCATTGCATTTCTTCATACCAACAAAAAATAGTTAAAAATGTAAATTTGAAAAAGGTATCAATTATAATGCTATCAAAAGTACATAGCAATATTGTCATTTACCAAAAATTATATATAACCATCATGGAGAACATTATAAAACTGTTGAAAACTTTAAAACATGCAAAATAAATACTTACATCAAGGAAAATGCAATATCATAGAAGCATCAGAAGCCTTTCTTATCTATAAATTCAATTCAATGCCAGTCGAATGCCAGTAGGGCTTTCCATAGAACCAGTTGATTCTAAAATGTATGGGACATTGAAGGGCCAAGATAAACAAAGGCGATTTATTATGGGGGTTTTGGGGGGTTTTTTAAGTAGTTTATTGTCAAGTTGGTTTCCAACAAAGGTGATTTTCAAGACAACAAGGTCAAAGGTATTTGATACCAAAATTTATAAACTTGTTAAAGTAAGAGTGTGGTTTTGGCACAGTGATGGACAATCAAACCAATAGAATAGAAAATCATTTCCAGTTTCTGGTGAAACCTTTCATCCATTTTCTCCATTTTCATCTAACATTATTGATTAGTTATTTTAAAGTTCTTGCCTACGATCTCCAATGTTTTGGTCATCCATGGATATGTTCCTATTGTTTTAGGTTTTTATTATCAGTCATTCTTGCCTGCCTTTTTACATGTCTACAACAACTACTGCTATTATATGCTGGATACTGTGTGTCTTACATATCTTCCACCAGTGAGGGTTTCCGGGTTTCTTTTGTTAGGTAGATAAAGTGAGAGACTGATTTCCTCAATGTAATCAGAGATTAGGCTGGGCTAGCGTAGGGTTGCATTTTACTTTTTAAAGTTTATTTATTTACTTAGAGACACATGAGCGAGGGAGGGGCAGAGAGAAGGGAAGAGAGAGAATCCTAAGCAGGCTCTGAGCTGGAGCCTGACACGGGGCTCAATCCCATGACGTGAGCTGAAATCTAGAGTCGGATGCTGAAATCAAAAGTCCTATGCTTAACTGACTGAGCTCATAAATACCTGAGTCTGCAGAAGACTTCACTTGTTTTTTATACTTAAATCTTAACCCAGTTGGAATTTTTATTTATGGTGTGAGAGAGGGGAATGTAACTGGATTCTTTTCCATATGTGACAAGATTGTTGGCCTGTTCCTCCCTTTATCCACATCTCCTTCCATGTAACGCTGCAGTTTCTAAAACTGCAGAGGCTGAGAGTGTCCCTCTCCCACCCTTGACATTTAGGCTTGGCCATGGGCCATGTGATTGTTAGACAGGTCATGCAGGCAAAGCCTCCCTCTCTTACCTCTAGATCACCGTAAGAACATCTCCTGAACAGCCTGCTAGTCCAAGAAGAACGAGAGACACATGGTACAGAGTCCTCTGAAAGGCCTGTACACCTATATCTTAAAGTAGAACCCACCAGCTGAGCCCAGCCTAGATTCTGATTCTCAGGTGTGTGAGCTAACCCAGATGACATAGCAGATGCCAGGGCCAAAATGCACAAGTATGAGCACCTTAAAAAGATGAAATGTATGCCTAAAACTACTCACAGTGATGGGCACAAAATTTTAAATAAAGTATTAAAACCTTTACAAACTTATGCATAGAGTACAGTGGTTCTCAAACATGATTGTGCAAGAGATCACGATCGAACTTGCCAAAAAATAGGTCCCTCTCTTGAAAATTCACATTCCCCACCCACCTCCCACATTTTGCTTTGGTAGAGACTGACACCAGGGCCATCCTGTTTTCCTAAATACCTTAGGAAAGTCATTCAAAAACTTAAATCTATCTTAGTACAAAACTTAAAAAAAGACTCATGACTGATGTGGGGTAGTGAACAGTCAGGGAAGAATTCTTGAGATGTTTTTGGTGCAAAAAGGTGCTTTTCTTATAAAACGGGGCCAGGGTGGGGGTGCCTGGGTGGCTTAGTCGGTTAAGCGTCCGACTTTCGCTTAGGTCATGATCTCGCGGTTCGTGGGTTCGAGCCCCGCGTCGGGCTCTGTGCTGACTGCCAGCTCAGAGCCTGGAGCCTGTTTCAGTCTGTCACCCCCTCTCTCTCTGACCCTCCCCTGCTCACGCTGTCTCTCTCTCTCTCCTAGAAATTAAAAAAAAAAACATTAAAAATTTTTTAAAAAAATAAAACGGGGCCAGGGTGACCCGTGGGCAGAAAAAGCTGCACTTCCGCTTTGTGAACTGGGGGGTTATGTATGCATTTAGTGCTGGGGGGGGATATGGAGGGAGTATTAGTTCGTAAATGTCTTCTTGGAATTTCTACTGGCAAAACTTCAGCAAGATTTCTCTGGTGCTTATCATTCTGCTGAATATTAACT